GGAGCAAGTACTTCCACACGGCTGGCAAAGTTTCTTTCGGTAGGAAAACATTCTACTTCTGTCAGCTGCGGGGTCAGCCAACTAGATGAAAACGGAGTCGATAGCGCACGTCCAAGACACGGGAGAACCCGAAAAATAAATAAACACGGGAGAACCCGAACTAAACGTGTTTATGATAAATTTTACGCAAATTAATTCGTTCTCAGACCATAAAACTTGAAATTCACTCGGTACACTCTATGGAACTAGCCTCCTCACATGTGAAAAACGTTGTTTTGGGATGAAATTGGGATATAAGAAAATTACAATGTCGCATGCCGGCCGTGCAGGGCGGAAAAAGAAGCTACAATCCGACGTACGTATAACAATCGTCAGGCGGTGTTCTGTGGGCGGTGCATCTGACTCAACTCTTTGAATTCGCGGGCCGGCTGGTGGGCGGGTCCCCATCTGCGCGCTGTGATTGGCGCGCCAGAACGCCACGTGGTCAGTCGGCGCCGGGGAGTCTGCCAGCGCCGCCGCCGCTGCTGGCGACGTGCGGTTTCTATGGCGACGCGGCGTGGGAACGCCCGGCCCAACACTGGGGGTCTGCATGCCCTTTTTCGTAAGGCGTAATCAGGCGTTTTTTTATTCATTGTCTTCGTAAACCGAAGGCAACCTTACCAAAAATCAACGTAATTCGTAATCAGTACATTAGCCGCAAAGCGTAAAAGTCATAATCAGCTATGAAACTTTAACTTTATAGCGAAAATTTTGCGTAATTCGTAATCAGTAACCCCCATGCAGGCCCTGAACACTGCGTGGCGCACGAAATGTATCAAAGTTTGAGGCGTAAAGAACTCTTGCTTCGCCCCCTTGTTTTACACAATGTTTAATCTCTCTTCCGTAACTCCATACGTCAACCTCCCCTATCTAGGAGAAAAATAAAGAACTCGAGTGGCGATTTGGCACGTCGATGCGTTAGATTTTTTAAAAATTATACCTGAAATAGCGCAGGTCGGGTGACATCAAAATAAAGCCGTCCACGTCGCAAGGCCGGACACAAAACTTGTTCAAGAAGGTTGGATTACTTTGTTATCGTTCTGTACCTTATTAAGCCACCAGATTTCCGATATTAAAAAAAAGAAATGTTTGGTTAAAAATACTATTTGCTCTACTGTTATTTGCATGCATTGAAAACATACTAAAACATGCACGCATCGTCTGCGTAAAAATCTGTAGTCAACGCGGTTCAATTTCAAGTAACAGCGGCGCCGGCCCTTCGGAAACCTAAGGTCTCACACCGAAGATCGGGGTTGCGGGAGAGGATTTCGTACCGCGGGATATCCCGATAAATCCCGCAGGAGATCCCGCAAACTCCCGCAGGAGATCCCGCAAACTCCCGCGGAAGATCCCGCAAACTCCCGCGTGATATCCCGCAAACTCCCGCGGGATCTCCCGCGGGACTTGATGCTTATCCCGAGATCTGTACTGTAAGTAGTTGGTGCATCTACTAAATTATTAGTTATTTTGTACATCATGCTGAGTCTGAACATTTTCGTCTGTCTTGCAGGTCTGAAGAAGGGTGGCAAGTACGAGTTCCAGGTTGTTGCCAAGAACTCTGCTGGCATCAAGAGCGCCCCGTCTGACAAGACACTGCCTGTGGTCTGCAAGGATAACCTTGGTGAGACACTTAAAGATTGTTTGTTGTTTTAAGTTTGACATACAAGCTTCAGGCTAATATCAAAGGTTAGCCTTGGAAATATACAAATGCATCATCTTCTTCCTTTGTCATCTTTAACAGAGGTGAAGCATGATGCTTTTTCAAGTAGCTACTAGACTACACTAGACTGCGTATTACTAAACACTCAGTCAATAGTTATACCGAAAATAGGATGCAAGTAGTCTACTGGTTTTACTTTTTGAAATATACCTACTTGCTTCATATGCCTCAAGACAAAAGAGCATAATTTAGATTACAACCAGTAAGGCACAGCTTCCTGGATATTAGCACTTTCCTTGAAAAGTACATAATTCTCAAACTCTCTCCACAGTACCCCCAGCCATTGTTGTTGACTACCGTATCAAGGAGAACAAGATGGCGATCAGTGAGGGAGACACCCTCCACATCCCCGTAGCCATCACCGGCAGGCCTGAGCCTGAGGTCTCATGGACTAGGAACGGAAAGGTACATCAACATGTCCTAATTAATACTTTTCAATCACTAGTACAACAGGCAGCTACTTCTCATAGAATACAGTCATTGTAAGTCAAAACTAAAGCACAGTTCTCTAACTCTGCAAGATTGTATCCCTCCACCAGTTTTCATCATCATTATCAGTCTTAATCTAAAGAGGTGTAGCAAACAACTGTTTGTCTTTTATAGCTGAAGGGAATTGCATGTCCTTCTAAACTAGTTTCCGCTTCTATCATGCCTATAATTTCTACAGTCAAGCTGTTTTTGATACAAATAGTAAGACCAATCTATGGGAGTTCCTTCATGCTTGTATATAGTTGTCGAGTGGGTTCATTCCTCAAGCTAACCAACATCTAGCACATGGCAACCATCCCTCAGTAAGACATCTGGAGCCACATAGTTCCCGTTTAGAACTTATATTCAGCTTGCCCTTAATGCTTGTACATTTTCTCCCCAGGCCCTGCTGAAGTCCCAGCGTGTGGATATCGCCTACGATGGGAAGAAGGACGCGCATGTTCACGTGAAGGAGAGCGGGCGCATCGACGCCGGCGAGTACATCGTCACCGCCAAGAACGACAGCGGAATCGCCGACGCTACCATCAACGTCAACATCTTCGGTACAGAACCCTCACATACTGCATGTTCTTTATGCTATCTGCTAAATATTGCAATTGAATTAATGGTAGTGCAATGTCAGTGTGACAAAACTGGTCACAGTTATAACTTGTAACTTCAGAGATTGAAAAAAAAAATGAGTGCAAGAACTAAATCTTTATCAGGTTAGAACAATTATTTTCATACTTTATACTTTGACCCATGCCTAGTTATGCTGCATACTAGTTATTTTGCGGGCTGTATTCCAGTGATAGTTTGATAACACTCCATGATAGTTTCAAAGCATTTTCCTGTTTTATTGATCATGTATTCTGTGTCTAACAGCCACCCCAGGAAAGCCCCTGGGCCCTCTTGTGGTGGCAGACGTGACTCCTGAGTCCTGCCTGCTCCGCTGGGAGCCTCCAGAGGATGACGGAGGAGCAACCATCACTAACTTCATCGTGGAGAGGATGGACGTCAAGCAGCAGGTGGGTTACAAAACACTGGGGCTTGGCAATCACTAATGGTAAGGCTAGGGGATAGGGAGAAGCATTTCAGGAAGGCTATCTTTTTGTTACATCCTAGGAATTCACTCCGAGGTTAACTAAGAAGAATACTGTGCTTTTTACAACAAAAATTAAGCATAATCACACTGAAATATTGCTCCATTGTGGTTATGAAGAAGTGAAAACCTGGATGATAATTATAGACATTAGGAAATACGTCGAAATACTGGAAAGAACTTAGTCTATGTCTCATTGAATGGGTAGGCTAAGGATTATGAAACATATTTTGACAAGCTCCAGCGTTAGAATTTGAGGTAAATACATGTAAATTCCCATGTCCATTCTGTTTATATAGCACTTGTATATACATGTATGATGTTACTTACTGTGTACAAAACACTGATCATGTCTATGCCTCCTCCCCCCCACCCAGTTGTGGATCAAGGTCTCCAGTGCTGTGCGACGCACCAGTCTGAAGGTGTCTAAGCTGTCTCCTGGCCAGACGTACCAGTTCCGCGTCTTCGCTGTGAACGTACACGGTGTGGGAGAACCGCTCCTGTCTGAGGCAGTCATCGCTAAGTACCAGTTTGGTAAGTCTTCTCTAAGTCTTGGATATTTCTTCACAATTCTAAAGGGTGTGAAATGACACCATCCTGTACTCATATAATTCCCAGTGTAAAATTAATGGAAATAAATTGGATGAATAAAACTTTTGTGAGATTGAACAGTAAAAAATCTTTTATCTTGTGTGTGTTGGAAAACAAATTTACACTACATAGAGTTGTGTATTTTTGTGAACTTTTGAAGACCCCACAGTTCTTTTTTCTTACAAATCACACTCTATATAGTTGAGTTTTCCAAGATGTTCAAGCTTTCTTAAGTAAATTCTGTTTCTCCTTCAGATGTTCCTGGTCAGCCTGGTCAGCCGCAGGTGAGCGATGTCACGCGCGAGAAGTTGAACCTGTCCTGGACTGCTCCGCTGTCCGATGGTGGATCTGACATCATCGGCTATGTGGTGGACATGAAGGAGAGGACCAGCGTGCGCTGGCAGAGAATCACCCGCCGCTCCATCCAGGTAAATAACAACAACATAAATAAACAAATATAAAAAATGGTAGTAAACAACAGTTGTAAATATAAAAGTGGACATGAAGGAGAGGACCAGCGTACGCTGGCAGAGAATCACCCGCCGCTCCATCCAGGTAAACAACAACATGTAAACAATTTATTGTAGTAAAAAACAGCAGTAGGACATAAACAGTAAATATAAACAGTGGTCTAGAACAGGTCAGAAAGTGATATAGAAAAAATATACTTAAACATAGATTGAAGATTTGTTGCTTCTAATTTTGAGTCATGTACAGCAATGTATTATCCTCAACATGGAATTTTCTTTGAGCCTGGTCCAGCATTGTGCCTTACAACGGATGAACATATCCATGCATATGCTTAGTGTGAGAGATTTCTAACAATTGTATCATTTGGAGAGCTCATATTGTGGCCTAAGTTCTAGTACCCACAGCTGCTTACAGCAGCTGAATGTGTCTATCAAATATTGACCACGTGTCAAGACTTCTAACTGGCTTGTCTTTGTCTGCAGGAACTGAAACTGCAGGTAGACGGACTGGAGGAAGGTCTGGACTACGAGTTCCGTGTTGTGGCTGAGAACACGGCCGGATTCGGCAAGCCCAGCCCCCTGTCTGCTCCTGTTATTGTACAGGACCCTGTCGGTAAGGGACATTTTACAAATTTGAATAACTTTAACTTGTTCAATCTGTAGGCTGCCTCAATGAAGTCAGAAGTTGCAAATTACTGTTGACCAAATGAAGACAGTTTTGTAGCTTTTCAGACCAATAGTCAGTGCCTTGGTGCAGAAAGATCAACATGACAACTAGACCACTTTGTAAATGATTATCAATTACTGATTTCAGTAAGATCTCAAGTACAAAAGTAGTCAAGTACAGAATGTATATCATTTGTTTATGAAATCTACACAATGATAACATTTTATATTTTTTTGGTTTAAAACTTCAGGTTTTGGTTTAAAACTACCTGACCTCAGTCTGTTAGGTTTACTTTAAGCTCTTTAAAGTCTATGATATGTTTAACTTTCTCTCTACTGAATAAGCCCACAACCATAACTTGTCATGGTCCCTCCAGGTCTCCCCGACCCACCCACAGATGTTGAGGTGTTTGAGACGACCAAGACGACGAACTCCGTCCGCTGGCAGCCGCCGGCACGCGATGGAGGCAGCCGCATCCAGGGCTACGTACTGGAGATGCTGGTTATGGGCCAGGAGGAGTGGAAGAAATGCCACACCAAGTCTGTCCTCAGGTGAGGCTTGTTTGTTTGTTTGTTTATTTGCTTGTTAGTAGCCGTATCCAGGGCTACGTACTGGAGATGCTGGTTATGGGACAGGAGGAGTGGAAGAAATGCCACACCAAGTCTGTCCTTAGGTGAGGCTTTCTTATAGTTAGATATGTGGCCTTGGCTATGGTTATATGTCCTGTCCTTGGTGCTGAATTACATTTTCCCAGCACAATTGCTACCTGTGTCAAACACATTCACACATGTCCTGTCCTTGGTGATGAACAAAATTCTCTGACATGTTAACTATGTTGCGTACATTCACATGTATCCTGTCCTTGGTGCTGAACAACTTTCACACAGCACACTTGCTGTCTCAGTCACACAAATTCACACATGCCCAAATGTGGCTGACTGCCATGCAAGAATCGGTCTGACAAGCCACACAAGATGCTCATCCGACAACAAAGTATATGCTTACGTTTTGGTGACCATCTGTCATATTTCCCTTATGGCAATGCTAACTTTTTCTACTCCATGCTCCAGTCATATGTAGCTGTTACTGTCGCAGGGTAAAGAAACGATTAATGAATGTTTTGTTGTTGTTTTGCAGGATCTGTGAGTTTGTTGTGGATGGTTTGACCACTGGTCCCGGTTACCGGTACCGAGTGAGCGCCGTGAACGACATCGGCATGGGCAAACCTGCTGAGCTGCCCGGATGGTGCCAGGCTCGCGACATGGAGATCCCGCCTCTTATCAAGGTACGGCAAATCTTCATGTTCATGTTTATACTTTTTTTTTTGCATTACTTATGATTGAATTACAGTAAAGTACAACAATAAACTAGCATCAGTAACTGTTTCAAATGCCAACTTTAAAGCATAGTGAATTTTTTTTTTCAATCGTACATGTCCGTGCAAAAATAATTGGATTTACAGTACATATACTATTAGGGCTTTATTTCACATTACGTGCAAAATCTCCTGCCCATGCAATTTGGGCTGTAGAAAATGTATAAGAATCTACAGAGACATCTACGAAGATATTTCATGCAAGGATTGACAGAATTGAGTTACAAATGTACCTAATCTACATCTTAAGTAAAACCAACTCATAGGTACATGATTGTGTAGACCTACACAGAAATAGCAGCAGTGAAGTTTTGGCAATTTGCTGGATTCTCACTTATTCTTCCAATTGTCAGAAGATATGATGCTGATTTATCTTACTTTCTCTCCCAGGTGGACCCCAGCGCTGCCAAGTCCATGAAGGTGCATGCTGGGATGCCGCTGCGTATCCAGGTGCCCTTATTTGGCAAGCCGCAGCCGACAGCAAACTGGATAAAGGAGGACAGTGACCTGGAGAACCGAGCCCAGGTGGAGACGACGGAGACACACACCACCATCATGCTCCCGGCCTGCGACCGCAGGGACGCCGGCGTCTGGGAGATGTTCGCTGAGAATCCCTTTGGAACTAACTCATGGTCTATCAACGTTAAAGTCATGGGTAAGTCTTTAAAAACCAAACTCATGTCAATATACCTTGTACCTTGGTTCCTTAAACCCAGTTCAAGGTGTGTGATTGAACCAGCTAATAGTATGCAGATAAATACAGATAATAATTGCAGTTACTATAGTTCTGCATTCACTTCATGTGCTCTGTTGTCAGACTTTTGATTTTTGTATGAAAATATTGGCCACAAAAATATAGTGGCCAAGCCATTCTCATGCTCCTGTCCAAAAGATAAAAAAATATGCTTCTAGTTATTAGAAGAAACAACAACATTAACTTTGCTACTGAATCATCTGCAAGAATTTTTCTTGTAACCCTCAGTTTGTATTGCACTGTACTAATCTAATTTTCCACTCTCTGTCTACCCCAGACACCCCCGGTGCACCAGAGAACATTGAGTGCAAGGGTGTGACCAGTAAGTCCTGTATCGTGGACTGGGACCCGCCCAGCAAGGACGGCGGCAAACCTGTCAACAACTACATTCTGGAGAAGAAGATCGTCGGGCGCCACACCTGGTCCACCGTGGACGACAACATTGTGAAGACGGCGTACACCGTCTATAACCTGATCGAGGGTAACCAGTACCTCTTCAGGATCATCGCCGAGAACGACTTCGGTTACGGCGAGCCTGGAGAGCTGGACAAGCCGGTCACTGCTGCTGACCCTGTCGGTACGTACAAGTTTTGTTCTGCATCCATAAAACCACCCACCACTCATCTTTGCAGCTTATCAGTAATCAACATCAAACGATCTCTCATACCTATGTGTCGAAATCCAAGTTTTATTTTAGAATAGCTTGTGAAGGGGCATTCTGTATCCATAAAACCACAACTGCTGCTGACCCTGTTGGCATTCACAAGTTTCGTTCTGCGTCATTCTATAAAACCACCCTTTTGCTCATATGTCAGCTCTTTGGAGACACAGAACAACTTCTTAGTATTCTATCAAAGGTTTTGTCATGCCTACAAGTGCTGCCTATTTGTCTAAAATAGATCTGATGATAACAAGTTCCCATGTTGCACATGTTCAGACCAACCCGATCCACCCAAGAAGTTTGAGGTGACGGAAACGTCCCCGACCCACATCTCTCTGCGCTGGACCAAGCCCGACTACGACGGAGGCAGCCGCATCACCAGCTACATCGTGGAGATGCGCTTCACAGACAGCGAAGAGTGGGTGAAGTGTACGCAGATCAACGCTCTGCGCTACACGATCACAGACGTCATCCCTAACCAGGACTACATGCTGCGTATCTTTGCACAGAACACTGGAGCTATGAGCAACCCCAAGGAGATCGGACCCGTCACTGCCAAGGAGCCAATCAGTAAGTGTCTTAGACGTCACTGATACCTTGTGTTTATTTTTCAAGTAGCTGTAAGCATCTTAGAAGTTACCAATGCCTTGTGATTTTCTTTTGAATATATACATGTAGCTGTAACTAACGTAGAATTGTTACCTTGGCACAAGTGTTTCTTTTTTGAATAGCCATAAGGCATAATTATCTGCAAGGCATAATTTCCTTCAGTGGTATAAACTGTTAGCATAAGGAGCTCAGTCTCTACGAGATTTGCTGGAAAAATTGTAGGAATTTGACAGAGGAGTTAGCTGGCCAGAGACCTGCAATTTGCAAGCCACAGGCAAATCTGACTAGTAGCCAATTGCACTGATTGAATATTTCAACTACTTTAGCCAATATTCCTAGATTTTTTCGACCCTACCAAGAGATCTGGCAGAGGCTATAGGCAGTAATCAAGAAGTAGCATGTTGTTTACAAGCTTTACAAAATTAATATGTGATGTAAAACTTTCCATTTCCAGTGCCTGCTACCCTGGACCTCTCGGCCATCCCTGGTGATGAGGTCATCGTGAAGCAGGGCTCTGATTGGACGATCAGCATCCCGTACCACGGTTACCCGGCGCCAACGGCGCAGTGGTTCCGCGGCATGGGTGACCTGCGCGAGACCAACCGCGTCTCAACCAAGACCGGCGGCGGCGTCACCATGCTCAACATCAGACAGGTGGGTTACATTATGTAGCAAGTAGCAGGACAGAGTTGGAGGGGCTGGTCACCATATATGGCGTTGGATTTACATTATGTAGCAAGTAGTAGGACAGAGTTGAAGGGGCGGGGCTAGTCACCAAGTGTTTGAGTAAGAATAAACCTTGCAGTAGTTTGTTGGGCTGGTCCGTGTGCATGTGAAGGTAAACATGATGCAGTTGCTCTGCAAATGTTACCCTTCAGTCCACAGAATCAAGCATTAGGTATGTGTGAGATACTGATCATATTGAACATCCCACAGGTGATCAAGGCTGATGGTGGGAAGTACTCTGTACAGGTGTCCAACCCGGCCGGGTCTCAGACTGCTGACATCAACGTCAAGATTATCGGTGAGTCTTAAGAAATCTTAACATCAACGTCAAGATTATTGTTCAGTCTGCACTTGGACTTTGACTGGACTTGGACTGTAATGACATCAACTATAAGATTGTATGTCTTCGTAAATCTTGAAATTTATTCCATGCCGTTGTCCAAGTGTTCAGTTTTCAATACATTTGCTTTTTTTTGTTTTTGGTCAGTCTAGATTTTTCTGAAGAACATTGGTTATTAGACGGAGCAGTAATTGTGGACTTTCCATTCACTTCTTGTTCATTTTAATGTTAACTTTATTGTACCTTTATTTTTGTGATGGAATCAGACATCAAATTACCTGAATTGGGTTCTTTGGGCAGTGTGACAATGTGTGAGATACTGACCTCTATTTTTTGTTTCAGGCCGCCCTGGACCGCCCAACGGCCCGGTGGTGATCGAGGACGTCACTCCGGAGAGCTGCGTCCTGAACTGGAAGCCTCCGACGGACGACGGCGGAAGTGACGTCACGAACTACGTGATCGAGAAGTCCGACAACCGCGGCGCCACCTGGGTCTACGTCAGCTCCGGCGTCAAGAGAACACAGCTGAAGGTGACGAAACTCACGGAGAACAAGGAGTACCTGTTCAAGATCAGTGCTGAGAACCGCTTCGGTGTGGGCTCGCCTCTCAAGTCTGAGTCTATGGTGGCCAAACTACCATATGGTAAGCATTTGCTTCAATGCTTAAAGATTTGACTTTTTGATTGGCATCACCTCTAAACTGAAGCTGAAGGAGGAGCTAAGTTTTCTTAAGAACGCTAAAGGTTATACTTGTCAGTCCAACTATTAAGATTTGCAACTTTTTAATTTTTAATTTTTATGGACCTCATGACAATCTTGGCACTGCACAAGTGTGTGTCATTAACGTCAAACATTGCTGAAGTAAAACTCTCACACAGATTCTGAAGCTGAAAATCAGCATTTAGTACATGAACCATGGTTAGTGGCAGCTTCAGGCTTTCTTGAAGTTAAAGCATTTCTTCCCAAACGTCTTCCAGACCCGCCGAGTGAGCCAAGGAACCCGAAGGTTTCCGAGGTTCAGAGGGACTCGATGACGATCACCTGGGAGGAGTCAGCCTCTGACGGCGGCTCTGACATCACCGGGTACATCGTGGAGAGGAAGGAGAGGAACAGCAACCGATGGGTCAAGGTGGGAACTGCTTGTTTTGTAGTCTTTATAATATCCAGAGCTGTGCCTGTCTAGTTCTGTGCCTGAGTGGGTTAGTGTAAAGATCAGGCATGGTTCTGGATAGTCTCATGGTATCCAGAACTGTGCCTATCTTCATGTAGGTCTGTGCCTAAATGAGTTATGGTTAGGATCTGGCATGGTTCTGGATAGTCTCCACGTTTACCATGTATCCAACCAAGAATGTAGATTTGCCCCAGGTATGGTGTTGAATATGTGTGGACTGTCCAGAACTGTGCCTGAGCATGGATACAACAGTCCTTTGTTTAGCTTCAGTACCTTGGATGCATGCTTGTTCTTATAAAAAGTAAGGTTTCAAACTTCTGACAAAGTCTGTCACTGTGACAGTGCTATGTGTGACAAGGATATAAAAAAATTGGCTTCAGGGTGTCAGGATGAGAAGGCGAGAAAGGATATGAAAAGAACAACAGAATGCCCTGAAGAGAGATGTCTAGAGCTGCTATGCATCAGTTCCTGGCTCCCATGGATGATTTATTTATTGATGTATTATTTTTCCCTCCCAGATCAACCGTGTTCCTATGAAGCACCTGACAGTGCGCTCCATGGGTCTGCTGGAGGGCTGTGAGTACGAGCATCGCGTGATCGCGTACAACGCGGCCGGACCCAGCAAGCACAGCGAAGCCACCCCGCTCACCCTGGCCAAGGACCCCGTCAGCGCCCCGCGTCGCGTCGAGATCGTGGACATCACACGCTCGTCCGTATCGCTCGAGTGGCTGGCACCCGAGAGCGAGGGAGGAGCAAGGATCATCGGATACTGGGTTGACAGGTCAGGGGTTTTTCTATAATAGGGAAATGGTAGGTCATGAGTTTGATCCCCGGAAGAGTCAAACCAAATACTTGAGAGTATGGTACTTGAACACATAGCATGAATAGCCCCCCAGTGCTGTAGTGATTGTAGAACTGTGTGGCTCAAGTGCTACTGAATCGGAGATAGGCGCCACCTTAAGCACCATTTTGTGCAGGATGGACTGAAACTTTCAAACTTAGACTTTTTCTGTAACTTAAAACTTTAGAGAGTAATAGCCATTGAATCTAAGACAAAGTTAAAGCTAACATAGTCTGCAAAGCTCTATTAGTGCAGTCAACATGAAATGTGAGCATGTAAGTAGAAACTCTACGAAAGAACATAATTTTTTAACAAGTCTGTTTCATTTTTTCATATTCAGGTTCAACCCAGAGGAAGGGAAGTTTATCACCTGTAACCAGATCATGATTCCAGCCTCGGAGCGGCACTTCACCGTGAAGGGTCTGCGGCAGGGCAGCAAGTACGAGTTCTGCGTCCGCGCCAAGAACGCCGCCGGAATCATCAGTGCGCCCTCCGACAAAACCATCCCGGTCATCTGCAAGGACGACCTACGTAAGTCATCTGAAAACATCTTTAAGTTATTGATATAAAACAGATGAAAGGATGCAGCCACTTAAATGTAACACAGGAAGTGTGAAAAGCAGTTGGAATGGAAAATTCATCTGTACGTACAGTTTACGATCTACGTATTAAGCTATATTTGGAATCCCGTTTGATATCAATCATGAGAAAAGACATAAAATCTTATGTCAAGCTACAACAGTTACTAACTGATTTGTTGACAGATGAATTTGCACAAGAGAGAAAAGATGAGGAAAAATACTGCTTTGGAAGAAAACACGGCAGTAAAAATGTTTCATGGATGATATAGTTTAGACTTTCCACATCTTTCTTATGCCAAACTTCATGTTGTTTTACCACAGAGCCGCCAAGTGTTTCCCTGGCGTACATGACCAAGGACACGATGACCTTCAAGGCTGGAGAGGACATGGACCTGAGCATGTCAGTCAAGGGCAAACCTGTGCCTGACATTGTCTGGCTGAAGGGCATCCGCCCGCTCGTCAAGAGTGACAGGTGGGGGGTCATCTTTGTCTTGAAGTTAAACTGAATAGGCAGGTAGAATGTGAATCATTAGCCATTTTTCACAAGAAAATTTAGGATGTGTTTACGATCATGGTCATTGTAATCATTTATATTTTTTGCTACATTTTCATGTCTTGATTTAAAAACTTGTCAGATACGTAGCTGGACAAATAGCTGGACTGCATTCAGAACTAGACAGCAGTTACTATAGTTACAATGTACATGTACATGCGTATCAAAGAATACCCTAAAGTCACCATAGCTGAAATGTTTATGTAGTTCTTACTTTAACTCATCTCCGTCATTCTTGAATGTTTAATATGTACAACTTTTTCTAGTAGCTTACAAATGTTAAAATCAAAAAGTAAAATCAGGCATAATGTAAATGTGAAAAAGAGATGATTAGTTTTTATATAATTTGTTATGATATACTAAGCTAAAGCTGTATGTATGTTTGTTTCCCCAGACTGACGTTTAAGATGCAAGGAAAGATCTCGACCCTGTCTGTGCGTAAGGTTGTTCGTGCAGACAGTGGAGAGTACACACTGCAGGCCAAGAGCCTGTCTGGGGAGACCAAGCAGACCATCAAAGTCTCTGTCATGGGTACGTTTTAGGCTTTTTCTTAAAATCATGGCTCTCATTGAGTGCAATATGGATGGCCGTAGCAGAGAAAAGGTTGAGAATCTACGAGAATTGTGAGAAACAGGCATCTAATGGCAAGTAATACTTGAGGCAATGTGTCCGAAAAATGATCTTCTGTACGTTGTACACACATGTAACTATTACCCACAAGATTAGTGCAGATCAAGACTTCAATCATAAAAATCTTGAAGACTTAGTGAATTGTGAAATCGTTTGCAGAGCCTTATACATGTAGGGCCTGCTGACACATATGTAAACTACTGAGAGACTTTCATTATAATATTGAATTTCCTCAAGAATTAAAGATTTAAGAACTTAAAAGAAAATGAATGAAAGCCTACATGCTGTTCCTGTACATAACCACCTGCCTGTCCCTTGCAGACGTCCCCGGAGTGCCGATGGACCTGGCCACAGGTGAGGTGACACCTGAGTTTGCCACCCTCACCTGGCAGCCACCTGAGGACGATGGAGGTATTGCCGTCACCAGCTTCACCGTCGAGCGCTGCGACGCCAAGACGCCCGACGCCTGGATGAAGGTCTGTGTTTTTTCTTTTTCTTTTTAAATCTTTATTTAAACTTTATCATCATTCACAGTACAGTTATAGTAGATACATGATCATGAATAAGGAACAAAATATGGATCTTCTAACATGAAAGGAGTTACCTAGATCATTATTGTTTAAAAAACTGCCATTTGTCATTGTATTTCTATAGTCTTATTTAGTCTGTTTCTAAAAAGTGTAAAGTTTGGTTTAAGGTTTTTGGTGAAGCATATTATATATACTGTAACTGTTACAGTACTTATGAATTATAACAAGAAGAATACATTGTGCAAGTGTGCTAAATTAAACATAGTGTGGATTTTCAATTATACCATATATGATACCCTCAGGTCAGTAGCGCCGTACGCAAGACGTCTTACAAGATCACGCGTCTGACGGCCGGTGCTAGCTACCTCTTCCGGGTCCGGGCCCAGAACTTCAACGGTATCGGCCCCGCAGCCACCATCGGTCCTATCATCGCCAAGTGGGCATTCGGTAAGTACTTCTCTTCTGTTTTACCTTTTGTGCCAAAACAATCATGCTACATTTTCATAAGCAGTTATTAAGTACTTACCAGTAATATAATATGTATGAACAACATAGAGTATGGCTTTCAATAAATTGCCTTTGAAAAAGTCATATTCTTGTACCTTTCTTAGCAGGCTCAGCAACTGAGTTTGGGAGCCATTTTCTAAATAACATGCTTTTTTGAACTGGCATATCACTTCTATTTGTGCCACTGAGGGTTCTTTTGCTTGGACAGCATTTCTTTGCTCTTGGACCATGCAGCAATCTAGTGCTTAAGCATTTTCCTCAGAACACAAAATGTACAATACAGTCATACAGCTAGAGCTAACCTAAACAGAGCAGTTATTGTCATTATTAGAGCTAACACGTTGTCCGTTGTCCTTTCCAGATGTTCCGACTGCCCCAGTAAACCTGAAGGTCTCTAACGTGACCAAAGACTCCATCACCATCACATGGCAGGTACCAGACAGCGACGGTGGCAGCCCCATCACAGGTGGGTTTGTCTGTTTGTTTGTTTGTTTGAGCCTTCATTTATCTATGAAGTACACAAATTGGCTTACTGGCCACTTTTCATTGATGTAACAAGATACAGATGATTGGAGTCCTACCAAGTCCATAGACACATTGTCGCACCAATTCTATATAGTATTCCATAAAAAATCCTTCTTACACATGCATGGTCAGTCAAACACCTCTCAGTACCTGTTCACTAAAACACCAAGGACATCGAGATCACGCTATGTTTTTCTGCCTGAAAATGGTATTGTAATAACTAACTGTAAAAAATCTTGGCTAGTTTTTTCTACATCCAACTGTAACCATTGCACAATTTTCATATTGCACCATGGTATAACATAAGGTGTACAGAAAGTGCAAAATGGAGCAAAATGGAATGAAAATTAGGCTCTTTCTGTACTTCCTATTAATGTGTATGTTGGTTAACATTGTCCTTAACCTAAACTGTTCTACAGGGTACCACATTGAGCGTAAGGAACGCACATCAGTCCGCTGGCAGAGACAGACCCGTCTGGCGCTTGGACCCAGCGAGCTCACGTACCTCGCTGATGACCTCATCGAGGATCTGGACTACGAGTTCAGGGTCATCGCCATGAACGCTGCAGGGTTGTCCCCGGCAACCAAGGCGACCCCGCCCACCATGTGTACTACTCCACCAGGTAGGCAAATAATTTTGTCCAGACATTAACACTCACACGTAAATCACATGATTTTAAGGTAGCCCTGGAACTTCAGTTAATACAAGGTTCAATTTTTAACTGTGAGCATCTTGCTCAACAAACAGGAAAAACAGAATCTTTACACTTTATAGACTACAGCATCATCATAAAAATGATTGACAAATGTTAGAAAAGAAAGGTTTACACAGTATTTAGGACGGCATTAAAAATAGGTGCAAAAATCTATGTATGAATCTTGGTATGAATCTATGTATGAAGCCAACACAAAATGACTAATTATAGTATCTGCCTTTTCAACAAATCAACCTGTTAAGCTCATAACAACACTCTTACTGAACATCCTGTGCTTTTTGATTTCATAGTAAATATTGAAAATATTGAAAATCGAAATCTTCCATTTTTTTTCTCTCCAGGCAATGTCAGTTAACACTAGCAACATATCTGAGTGTACAGATCCTCAAATTTCATCTATAATTTCCTGCTCTTTAGGCAAGCTACTGATGCTCATGTACTTTTTGATATTGAAAATTGATCTTTTCCATTTTCCTGTTCTTTAGGCAAGCCTGGCAAGCCGATTAACCCTGAGTGCAAGGACACGACTCGCTCGACGGTCTCGCTGAAGTGGTCTCCTCCCGAGAAGGACGGAGGCAGCCGCATCCTCGGCTACGTCATCGAGGCTCGCAAGATCGACAGCGAAGACTGGTTCAAGGTACGGTTAGGATGCTCAATTTGTACAAACAATAATCTTTTATCATGTAAGAAGTCAATAGTAAAAAGTACGCAATTCAGCCTGTGGACGTGATGTACTTTTAATAGCTAATTTTAATTTAGTTAAATCCTAATTCACATCAACCCCACAGCATCTTCTCTGGTCCTATTTTAGAATCGACAGTCTCTGCCACATAGAGCACATCTGTAAGCTGACTCAGTTCTGTTGCATAGTTCTTTTCATGATGATCAAAATAAACCATTCATTCATAGTTATACAGTTCAACCTTTATTCCAACACGAAAAAGGAACTCACCATAAATTTTTGGTCAGTCTCGTCTAGCTTGAACTCTGCAACTATGGATTCTACTTAAACACAGACAAGATTTTCATTCAAAACTCACTCATTCCTTCCTTCCTTCCCTCCAGGTGCACCAGAAGTCTACAATCCGTGACACACAGTATGTTGTGGAGAACTTGACAGAGAACGATGCACTGCTGTTCCGTGTGAGCGCAGTGAACATGATCCTGATGGGAGATCCAGAGCCTGTACCAGGTAAGGTTTCCTTCACTCACTCACTCACTCACTGTCCAGTTTATCATCTGTTGTTCCCCGTCTTCCGAGGGTTAGACGTGCTTGCACGATACTTCTGGGGCTTGATGGCAGCTCGCCACTTGTCTCTGTCCTTGTTGTTGTTTTATCCTCCTGAACTGTTGCAAAGCTTGATGCTTTTTCAAGTATGCTTTTCAAGTAGCCTATAGTTTCCTGAATCTAGAATAAGTGGTGTAACAGCCCATAACATCTGCTCTGTCCAAAACTATACTTTGTTGCATATTCTAGGTTAGCACATTTAGATTCTTGACATAATGTGTTGAAATTTGACATATTTCTTTTTTTCATTTTGTCTCAAGCAAGTCAGACACATTTTACTGAGCCACTAGTAGCGGTATTTTGTCTTTCTCAGAAAGTTCCCACAATGATAACAGACGATAATCCAGTGGATGGCAATTCAGCACCAAGGAGCTCCTGGTCTAATTTAACAAGTTCAAGTTCTACATACAACAGATTGACGCATTCCCATTGAAACCCTCTGTTTCCCGATGTTCCCACAATGACTACAAAAGATAAACTAGTGGATGGCTATTCAGCACCAAGGAGCTCCTGGTCTAATTTAAACAAGTTCAAGTTCTACATACAACAGATTGACGCATTCCCATTGAAACCCTCTGTTTCCTGATGTTCCCACAATGACTACAAAAGATAAACTAGTGGATGGCTATTCAGCACCAAGGAGCTCCTGGTCTAATTTAAACAAGTTCAAGTTCTACACACAACAGATTGACGCATTCCCATTAAAACCCTCTGTTTCCTGATGTTCCCACAATGACTATAAAAGATAAACTAGTGGATGGCTATTCAGCACCAAGGAGCTCCTGGTATGAATACTACATTAAACAAATGGACACATTCCCTTTGATTAACCCCCCACCCCCCAATGTTCCCCAGGTTTTGTACAGGTGCGTGATCTGACCCAACCCCCCGAGGTGTTCCTGGACTCCAGCCTGAAGAGGATGGTCAAGTTCAATGCCGGAGCACCGCTCAGACTCGTGGCCTCCATCAGAGGCAGGCCCATGCCTGAGTGCAGGTACGTAGTCTGTGGTACTTTGGATATACATGTGTACATGTCTACATGGTACCAGCAATTGGACAATATACTCTGGTAGTAGATCACACAGACATATAGGAAAGAGAAGTAGTATTATTTTTAATAAACAAATATAGGATTAGTTCAAAGCATATTTGAAAATACTGTAAAGATGAAAATAACTAAGAATGTTTCTAGGATTACCATTCAGTACCATGTGTATAACACTTAGGAAAGATCATTGAAGATGCCATCTGAAACATTAAACATTAACCACACATGTAGTTGTAGAGAGTTACTAAGAATGTATTCCTTTGTAAAGTGTGACAATCAAATGGCTACATTGTTACAATCAGGTGGTTACATTGTCACAAACTAAACGTCCACTGTTTTAGGTGGGAGAAGGAGGACAGTGACCTGGCAAACCGCAGTAAGACGGAGACGGTGGACAACATCACGCAGCTGGTCATCCCGAGCTGCGACCGGCGCGACGCCGGGCGCTTCGACCTCACCGTGGAGAACGCACACGGCTCCGTAACCGTCGCCATCATGGTCAAGGTCATGGGTAAGTTTTCTACATCCAGACTTGTTCAACTTGTTGAATGGGAGCATGAAGTATTACACTGCCTATCAAAGCTTTATATGAATGGTGTGAAGATTACACTGACCTAGAAATGCTGATTTAATCTTGCAACTGAGGAACACAACTGAAAAATTTCCTTTTAAGTTAGTACAAAGAAAGATTTGCTGTACTTAACTTCAACATTTACTGTTTCTTTTATATAATACAGTTCCAATGGACTGCCATCAATTCAAAATGATTTATAAAAAATACAGCAACGTATAGATATCGGCAAGCATAACAGCTTTCAATTTTTGTGCCATGCATGGCAATATGACGGGCTGCTCTAATGCTCTTCTATCCTTTCCAAAGACACTCCCGGTGCACCCGAGAACATTGAAGTGAAGGGAGTGACGCGCTCCTCTTGTATTGTGGACTGGGACCCGCCCAGCAAGGACGGCGGCAAGCCTGTCAACAACTACATCCTGGAGAAACGCCAGGTGAGAGGTCTTAAGATGTAACCAAGTCCTTTAGACAAACATCTTATAGTGACTGTTACATTCAGACAGTTTTATCTCACTTAGCTTAGTGAAGAGTTTATCTTCCACTGGAGATTATAGAGAATACAGATGTACAATATTTACAGGTTGATCAGTTTGAAGCAATATCGCTGAATCCTAAATTCGTTTGATTTTCACTGTGTAATTTCTGAAAATCAAAATTAACTTTCTTGCTAATATTGCTTGTTGTGTTGGGGTTGGAAACAAAACTGCTAAGAAGCTGACACTGCTTGTATTAAATCTAAATAAATTGTTTGTTTGTCCTTGCCCAGGTTGGCCGTACAACGTGGACCACAGTTGATGCCAACATTGTGAAGACTGCCTACACCATCAGTAACCTGGTGGAGGGGAACAAGTACAACTTCCGCATCATCGCGGTCAACGACTTCGGCCCCGGCGCGCCCGGAGACACCGAGGAGCCCATCCTGGCCCAGGACCCAGTTGGTCAGTCCCTTTTGTTTCTTTCAGGAACCATTTAAGGAATCTATTGTCTTGGATAGCAGTATGTAGGGCTCTCTAGTTGATGAACTGCAGTGGTTTAAACTCATCATTGTAATTGACTGGGAATATTGCATGAAGTTTTCAGTCACTTGCTTGACAGTGGCACTGAATTTTTTTTGATTGCATAGAAGAAGTCCTTTGAAGTTAAATTTCTTTATTGTAGTGCATATACTTGTAAATATACATTGGTGGACAAATGGTGGACAAAGAATGATATAAGTTAACCAGGAACTTGATATAGATACCTGCGCTCTCTCTGTCTAAAGTTTTCAGTAACAGTTACTTGTATGTTAACCTGTTCTTTCTGCATGTTTCCAGACCAACCATCCCTACCAAAGAATGTGAGAATCACCGAGATTACCCCGACCCACATCTCTCTGCGCTGGACCAAGCCCGACTATGACGGAGGCAGCCGCATCACCAGCTACATCGTGGAGAAGCGGTTTACGGACAGCGAGGAGTGGGAGAAGTGTACGCAGATCAACGCCCTGCGCTACACGGTGGCGGACCTGATCCCTAACCAGGAGTACGTGTTCCGTGTGTACGCACAGAACATGGGAGCAGTCAGCCCACCCGCAGAGGTGGGACCTGTCATCGCTAGGGAGCAACTGGGTGAGTTTGTTTGACTTCTTATATGGATCTTCACTGTTCATAAATCACGTATCTTCCTGATTGTACATGCAAGTAAAGTACTGGCTACATGCATTGGTTTAATGTACAATTTTCCTATTCTAGTCCATGTAATTGCATGACTTGCAATGTACTGTGCCAGTGACAGCAAACTTTTCCAAAACAATACAATTTAGTTGAAAACAAAAAAAACACATTCAACTTGACTTCAGAACATTAATTTCTAGTGATCTATGCCAAAAAAACTAATTTCAAATTCCTTTCTGCAAGTGTTCGACTAGCACAAGCCCTGGTAAATCTAATTATGAATATCTATGTAAATGCTAACTAAAGTTAATTAGCACTGACATACATGTATACTGTGTTATTTTCTCTAGCCCCGGGTTCCATTGATGTTGAGGCCCTTCCCTCGGATGAGATAGTCCTGAAGGAGGGAGCAGACTTGAATGCTAACTTAGTTGTGCTAATTACGCTATGTTATTTTCTCTCTGTTCAGCTCCTGGTTCCATTGATGTTGAGGCCCTTCCCTCGGATGAGATAGTCCTGAAGGAGGGAGCAGACCTAGTCGTGGATGTTCCGTTCGGCGGAGCTCCTCGGCCCAAGGTCACCTGGAAGAAGGGCATGGGCGAGCTGCGTGAGACGGACCGCGTCTCCACCAAACAGTCCAATGGCACGGCTCAGCTCATCTTCAAGAAGTGCATGAAGGTTTGTGATGAAAATCGTTCACTTTTTTATTGTGCACCCTCTGAAAAACTTAATCAAAAGTTTCATTATTTACCATGAATTTGAAACATGCATTTTCTGTAAACGTGTACGTGAATTAGTGGAAATTATAATATCTGATTCAAACATTTATATCAAAAATGTTAATATTAAGACTTTTTATATCCAAAATACATCTTATACCAAATTGTACAAAAAAAATCTATAGTTTCCTTTGACATTCTATTATCAGAATCTGTGACATGTACATGTACATGATTTTGACATTATTTCCAAATAATAACAACAAGAAAAAAATATCTTCAGCTAAACTCTTGTGATTAACTTTTCCAGGCCGATGCCGGACGTTACAACATCACCGTGGAGAACGAGCTCGGCTCACAGGAAGCAGACATTAACATCCGGGTCATAGGTCGCCCGGGCGCCCCCGCCGGTCCTGTGGACTTCGAGGACGTGACTCCGGAATCCCTGACCATGAACTGGAAGGTATGTGAATGGCTTTAAAGGTTTTCAACGTACAATCAAGTATTTCAAACTACACTGAATGTCTCTTCTGTGTTTCCTAATGTGTAATATGTAATATTTATTCTACAGCCCATTCAGCTAGTAGAAGCTGCTTTCCAATGGGGTCCAGCATTTACTCATTTACACACATTACATTGAGTCAAGCAACAAAAGCATTTAGCTCAGAACCAAGAGGTCCCAGGTTCGAATCCTGCCAAGTCTCAAACTTTGTGCCCTTGGGAAAGGCACTTTACACGACTTTTGGTTGTTGGTTTTGACTTCTTCTTTTGAGGCAGTGGGAGATGAAATTAGCCACTTTGTCTAATATAGATGATATGTGGGTTCTTTGATTTTAGTAGTTAAAAAAGTTAAAGCACATTATTATTATTATTTTAAGGCCCCGACGGACGATGGAGGCAGCGATGTCAGCAACTACGTGGTTGAGAAGTCTGACAACCGCGGCGCCACGTGGACCTACGTGAGCATGGGAGTGAAGAGGACTTCTCTCCGCATCACCAAGCTGAAGGAGTACACCGAGTACCTCTTCCGCATCAGCGCCGAGAACAAGTTCGGCGTCGGTCCTCCGCTCAGGTCCAACTCTGTCATCGCCAAGTATCCTTATGGTGAGTTTCTCTTACAAACACATCTGTTCAAAATCACTCCAGAAAACCATAGCCAAGTATCCACATGGTGTTTCTCTTACAAGCACTCTCTTTGAAGACATGAATTCTTTCTAAAAACTAAACTTAAGAAATTGAATTTAATCAATGTGGATTTGTCAATTTCTTACGTGTAGAATTTGCACTGTCAATAGCAGGCATGTAGCTCCTTGGTGCTGAATAACCATCCGCTAGTTTATCTTTTGTAGTCATTGTAGAAACTTTCTTTGAGCTCAGTAAAATGTGTCTTGCTTGCTTGAGATGAAATATATGAAGAATATGTCAACACATAATCTTAAATGTTCCACCCAATACATACAAAAGGATAGGGGATATTATGCGCTGTTGCACAGTGTATTCTACATTTTTGTGTTTCCCCCCAGATGTGCCAGCCCCACCAGGCCAGCCACAAGTGTCTGTTCTCAACACCACGAAGGAGTCGATGGTTGTCGAGTGGACAGCCTCGCCTGACGATGGTGGCTCCGAGATCACCGGTTACATCGTAGAGCGCCGCGAACGCACCAGCCAGAGATGGATGAAGGTCAGTTTTATTTATCTCAATTAGGCTTTTTTCATAATTGTGGAAAAATATTGTACTAGCTTTTTAAGATACCAACCCAGAAGAGTTTATTTTGTCATACAAAAACTAAAAGTTCTATCAAACTTAATGTTTACTCCTGCACTGCCTAGTCTTTAAAACAAATAGAGTGACCTACATGTAGTTTAAATACATGTAGCTACCCACAATTTCAAAGGAATGGCTATTGCTTGCTGCAGGATAGACACATGTGTGAGTATTGAAACATCAAAAACTTTTGCTACACTATGAGGATTTCTGTTTGTTGCTGGCATGTGCAGTGTACTCGTTCAGAAATTTCTCACAGAAATTATAACCAGCAATAATTTTTCTGTATTCCTCTGCACCTTCAGGTGAACCGTGGCCTGATTAAGAAGCTGAGTATCCAGACCACCGGCCTGTTGGAGGGTAAGGAGTACGAGTTCCGTATCTTCGCCCACAACGCGGCCGGCGCCAGCAAGCCCAGCGAGAACTCACCGTTCTACCGCGCCATGGACCCGGTCGGAGTGCCGAAGGACGTGACGGTCACTGCAGTAACCCGCGCTTCCGTCAGCCTGCACTGGTTCCCTCCAACTACAGGTCAGTCTCAGCTTTACTCTTAGGCCACATTAATTTTATTTTTTGGCTGTCATGCACATTCTGAAGAAACTTGGTAGTAAAATTTGAAGGGAATGTCTGTACTTTGGTACACATGGATTACAGTATTTACCACTGCATTGTAAATGTATGAATCGCCTGACCTTCTCTGAAGACTAAAAGGTCCCAAATCAAGTCAAGGATTGACATTATTGGTAAATAACTCGATGCTAAACTTTCTTTACCTGTTAGTGGTGTGTATATGCTAGCTGTATCTGAATTGTTTGTTTAAACCATTCTTTATTATGTGAGAAACTCAAGTCAGCCTTAAGACCGCTTTTCATGTAGCTGGTATAATCACAACTCAGTACAAAACAGCAGCTAACTTAACACTAACCCTTAACAGATGGAGGTGCCCGCATCATCGGGTACATCGTTGAGCGTAAGGACGTGAAGGAGAAAGCCTGGGTACAGGTGCACGTGGGCGTCATCACCGAGCGCGAGTACCAGGTCAAGGGTCTGAAGACCAACGAGCGCTACCAGTTCCGCGTCGTGGCGAAGAACGCCGCCGGAATCAGGAGTCTGCCGTCTGAGCCCACCACACCAGTGGTCTGCAAGGACGAGATCTGTAAGGAAAACTTACAGAGTCTTTTTCATATTTTCATGAAAGTTCATCTGTGTTGGTAGTAAACATAGTACAATGTTGTCTTTTTCATGTTCAACTGCACAACTACTTCTGTCAATTCATTTTACTAATACTGAAGAAGAGTGATGGAAGTAGTCTTTGTAATCTTTCCAGTAGTAGAGTTTCAATTCTATATATATTGAGTATCATTTACCTACTAGTATAGATGTCTAGATTTTATCAATGTTTCCCTTAGTTTGTATGCTTGCAGACAGATCTATCATAAGCATTTAACTTTTGTCAAGTTTGACAGCAGTGCTTTGAATCTTAGAGAAAGCAATCTCGGAAACTTTCTTGGAGAACATTCTATCAACCTCTGCTCAAGCCAATGACCTTTGCAAGATATTTCTAGCCACTGTTTGATTTTCCCTGTGCCTCTCCTCAGCTCCCCCGACTGTGAAGCTGGACTACAAGCTGAAGGACGTGCTGACCATCCACCGTGGACAGCCGCTGCACGTGCTGTTCCACGTCAAGGGCAAACCTGTCCCCGAGATCGCATGGACCAAGAACAAGAAGGTACGCAGTCTAGAAATCACTTCTTACTTCTTCTACCTGCATTGTACTTGTTCTATTCACTGCCACCAAGATCAGTGGCTAGAGAAATTTTAAAAAAATCTTTAGCAGTCTTCTTGGACACAGAAGTATTGGAGAAACAGTAACTTGTTACTCACTTCTAGAATAATTCTTAAATAGTCTATCTTCGTATTTTTGCCTTTAGTTACTAGCATAGAAACCTTCAAGCTTGACTTGGCCCTTTGAGCTAAGGGTCTTTACGAAAGAATACTGTTTCAATACCAGAATTGTTTTCATAGAGTTTCATCTCTTCTGATCATAACAATAATTGGCAGTTCCAAGATCAGGTTGAACTTGAGTGACTAAGTTTTGATGTTTAAGGGTGCAGGATGATCTTGGAATAGCCAAATGTTTTGTACCTTAATTTGCACTTGAAGATCTTAAAATATTGTGGTGCTAGGGTTTCCCTTCATGCCCCGTTCTAGCTTCTGATGCTGAGTTCCCATGTACATATGGAGTCTAAGGGAGAAGACACTAAGAAAGTAGAGAAATATTTAACATTTAAGAGTTTCATCTCTTCTAATCATAAGAATATTTTGTACCTTAGTTGGGACTTGAAGACCTTGTTGTTCTAAGATTCCCCTCCTTGCCCTGTTGTAGCTCCTGATGCCCAGTTCCCATGTACGTATGGAGACTAAGGGAGAGGACACTGAGGTGATCATTAAGGAGGCAGCCCGTACCGACAGCGGACAGTATGTCGTAACTGCCAAGAACAACGCTGGGGCAGCCGAGGCCAAGTGCACTGTCACTGTCTTGTGTAAGTCTTTTTTCTCACATCTACATGCATTTGATATTGTGAGAACAGAATTTGGATCCTGTGGTCTCACATGAATACATGAAATCACATACGAGGCCAAGTACAGTCTGTCACTGTCTTGTGTAAGTCTTCTTCTCACATCTACATGTACAATGTACAATGTATGCACGCATTTCATATTGTCAGAACAAATATTGGTTCAGATGAACTCTAGTACGTGAGCTCCCACTGCCCGCTACGCTACATGTGATGACAGGAGACAGATGACCTCTGGGTCAAGTGAGGTCAGGGGTCGTATTCTGTGCATCTAATTAATCTATTTGATCTGTCGCCCAAATAACTACATTGTCAATGTGTAGAATGGAATCATTTCTCAGGTGACTGACAGTAAGATGTCTGTAGCTACATGGTTCCCATTTAAAACCTGTATTCAGGTTATCACTGTTAGAGTTAGATATCTTTCCCTCAGTATCCCATATGCAAAACCAGAAAACTAACTATCTTGTATATAGGATTTGACAATTACAATTTGGAGAAAGTCTAGAGTTATCTTCTTTTTGGTAAAATAAGTAGGACTTTGTAATCACAAGAAAATGAAAATTTCTTACTGTGTTTATGACAAAAATTATACCTTTGGTACATTTTAATTGTGTTTATTTTTTAAAGTTAAAGCTTTAGATCCAACACTTAGAAGAGTTCTCTCACCAAGGGCTTTTGACCAGTCACTCTGGTCTTCCTCAGTAGACTGACTCAGTGTTGTTTATTTGTTATTTATTTATTTGTTGTTTTTTCCAGCTGTACCGTCTGCGCCGGTTGGCCCGGTGAAGGTGTGGGACGTTACCAAGGAAACGTGCCGCATCTCCTGGGACACGCCCGCCGACGACGGCGGCAGCCCATCACCAACTACTTCATCGAGAAGGCCGACACCCGGCAACCCAACGAATGGGTCAAGGTATGGCAAGGCAAAATGGCTGTAGTGTGTAGAGGGGTTAGATTTAGTGCTGGGAACAATACAGCACTGATGCTATAAATGATATTTTGTAATGGTAATTGTAAAGAATCAAGAGAATTAAGTACAATATACACAAACATGTGACTGCTAGTCTGAAAGCCATAGACTGGAACTTGTTGGGCTTGACAGTGGAAGAAGAAAGATCCAACTTTATCTATGTGAATTCCATGATGTGGCACATGTAAATGTTGTAAATTGGGAAGGCATTTGTTAAGATTTTTGACACCAGTATTTTTTGTACGCCAAGGTGGCTTATCTTTTTTCTACAGTGGAAGACGAAAGATCCCAAGATCCCAAGAGTTTTGTGATGTTTAAGAGGAATTTTTATCTTGTAAATTCTGAAAAATTGGAGAGACATTAAAAGATATTTGACACCTTTATTTTTTGTCCCTCCAGGTGAGCGCCGCTATCCGTAAGACAGAGATGAAGGTGACGAAGCTGCAGAACAGGTGCACCTACGTCTTCCGCATCCGCGCCTGCAACTACTACGGACCCGGAGACCCTCTGCTGTCAGCACAGGTGCTCGCCAAGCATCCATTCGGTGAGTCATTCAGTCAATTAATCCACCATTCGTTCAATCTACCAATCGATCATTGGCATCAGGTACTGATTTATGATGGCTGTACTAGGTAGACATCTCTTTCAAGGATGTTCTACAGTAAATTTTGATGTGAGAGTTAAGTTTCTTTCCCTCAATGCTCAATATGCAAGCTAAGACACAATGTAACTTAAGTAAGTTGTCATACTTTCTGACAATTACAGGTTGGTGCTAGATTGTCCTTGCTGATTTCTCTATACATTATAAATAAACAGCCAACATATTCTCAGTTACTTTTGCCTTCCTCTGGCTTCTTAGTAGTTGTATATAGATGTAGTAGGCTTTAGGATTGATGAAAACTGGCTTATTGAGAGAAGCAAGTATCATGAATTTATCTTGAAGCATTAAACCTGTTTCCCTCCCCCCAGACCCGCCCAGTGCTCCCACCAAGCCCACGCTGAGTGGAGTGACGCGGGAACAGATGCTTGTTTCGTGGGGAGTTCCCGAGTCCGACGGAGGAGCCGAGATCACCAACTACGTCCTGGAGAAGAAGGAGCTCCTCTCCACGCGATGGTCTCGGGTTACCAAGGCAACCATCACGGATACCAAGTACCTGGTGACGGACCTGGACGAGGGGACGGAGTACGAGTTCCGTGTCGCGGCGGAGAACGCCGGAGGGCGCGGGAAGTACAGCGTCCCGTCCATGCCGACTGCTGCAGTCGATCCTCCAGGTAAAGTTTTGGCCTGTCTTTAGGAGCAGATTATGTAAGAAATAGTTAAGTTTGTTTCCTTAGTAAGTATGCTCATCACTACTACATATGGATTTGATGAATCATTAGTGTTTATCTGTCTGTGTTTCTTTGCTGATGTGCTACAGAATGTCCTCTTCCTTGTTAAAGTAATACTGGTATGAGAGCAATCCAAAATGGCAAGAAGACAAACACTATTCCTCCCTTCTCCAGGTTAATTGTTACTGGTTAGAAATTGCTTAAGCAAAATATGTACTATACAGTTACTGATTCATCAATCACTATTTGCAACTCAGTCAACCCCAAGTACCACTCTATAAACTGATCTACAACCCTCATAGCTGGCAAAAATATGACCACTTTTTCTCCATGTTACATTGTACAGTAAAGTCATACAGAGTACAATGGCACAAAAATGACCAACGTTTCATTGCCCCCAGGTCCACCTGGCCCTGTACAGGACCCGCGCTGCCTGGAGACGACAGAGACATCAGTAACCCTGGCCTGGGACCCGCCACGCGAGAAGGGCGGCAGCAGGATTGTGGGATACCTGGTGGAGATGCTTCCTCCGGGAGGAGACTCGTACAAGAAATGTCACATCGGAGACGCTGTCAAGGTCACGGAGTTCACTGTGCCGGAACTGCTCGAGGGCAAACCTTACAGGTGAGGGACCCATTTATCAATATATCAATCAATAAGCCTTACAGGTGAGCTGTCTATCTGTCAATATCTCAATCAATCAATGAATAAGCCTTGAAGGTAAGAACTCAATCTATCCATCTTCAATGAAAGTTAGATATTGAGGTAATGAGATACACAAGAAAACAGTTACTGACAAACAACTGGATAGATTTTGAAAACTGTCAGACATGATGTACAAAAGTGTAGCATCCACAGACTACTTTTCATCAGTGACTAACAGAAAATTGTTAACCTTATGCTATAATTAGTATGTTGACTAATGGTGACTTCAAGTTTTAAAAAAAAAATGTATGTTGGACAAATTTTGCTGACATGTTTTTACTTTTTCAGGTTCCGTGTGACGGCCATTAACGAGGTTGGACCAGGTGCAATCACTGAGGTGAACGGCATCATCACACCTGTGGAGATGCTGGAGGCACCTGTCATCCTCCTGCCACAGGTGAGAACACTTTCACTTTTACTCTCTCATTGCCTTAGGTGGGAACATCAGTTTGCTCTGTACTTATATAATAGTTCCTATAGAAGTTACATACAACACGGTTGCAGTCCAACAATTTTGACCCAAGATTTAAAAAAGGGTAAATCTTGGAGCAACCAATATAATGTTTTGTGATAGATTTTTCTCTTATTAAATTGTTTTGCTCTCATTAAAGGGGTCCGTCCCAGTCTATCATACATAGCTTGAACTTACTAGTATATACTGAATAAAAATGGCATGTTACGCTTCAAGGCAGTTTACTAGTAACTGCTATGGAAAACAATGTTTTCATTTCTCCACAGGAGTACAAGCGCTCTCAGACCATCAAGGCAGGTGAGCCGATCCGCCTGCACATCCCCTTCAAGGGTCGTCCTGAGCCCGAAATCACCTGGGTGAAGGAGGACAGTGACCTGGAGCACCGTGCTCAAGTCGAGAACACTCGCTGGTCCACCACCCTGTCCCTGGTTGCTAACAGGAACGACCTCGGCAAGTTTGAGCTCACACTCAAGAACAAGGCTGGGGTGGCGACTGCTGGCATTCTGGTTAAAGTACTGGGTGAGTTTCAAGTTTATTTATTTATCCAGAGTATTTCAGATCTACAGAATGATCTGCTAAAAGTCCTTACAAAAACCTCCTCTGCCTAAGGACCACCAGGCCATGGTAGCCAAGTTTTGTGGTGGCCCTGATTTTTCCCTCAAACCTAAGCATTAGTCGTTAGAAATATTGTCTGTAGTGATTATTTCTACTTCAAATTCCTTGACTCTTTCTTGTAAACTTGGATACTTTTGGCAAGCCATTTCCATTTAATTTTTTCTTGCACCAAGTCTGTTTAAGTTATAACATGCATGTTTTTGTATATCATTCTATGCAATAACATATATATCTGTACATGAGGAAGGTAATCTTAAGTTTAAATCATTTCCTTGCTCCACAGCCACACCTGGAGCACCCGAGAACGTGGAGGTGAAGGGAGTGACCAAGAGCACCTGCATCGTGGACTGGGACACGCCTTCCAAGGATGGCGGCAAGCCCGTCAAGAACTTCGTCCTGCAGAAGAAGGAGATCAGCAGGAAGACGTGGGACACCGTAGACGACAACATCGTCAAGACGGCGTATCGGATTACCAACCTGGTGGAGGGGAACCAGTACACGTTCCGCGTCATCGCCGAGAACGACTTCGGGTTCGGCGACCCGGGAGAGGCCCCACACCCCATCACTGCGATGGACCCTGTTGGTAAGTGTTTTTCGCTATCATGGCAGTTCTAACTAGTGCTCTGACTTTCTTACAGTCTGAGTAGAGGAGACTCTTCATGACTGAAAAAAATGCTTTTTGTCTTTGGTAATTTTAAATGACATTCCTAGTCCTAAGTAGACTATACATGTATTCTTTTCAGTGTAGGTTCAACACACTGCCATATAGACTCTGTTGGTATCTAGGGGACTTAAGGCGGCTGAGGAAAATAAGCATAATTTATTCTCTCATGTTTTTCATCTAGTGCTACTGTTGACAATCTTTGCCTTGACTCATGAGACTGTTATGTGGACATTTTTGCTGTAAGAATGAAGCCATGTTTAAGTTTTTATTTAAGGCTCTTCAAAACTTTTCACCCTTCTCCCCAGACCAACCTGACCCACCCAAAAAGGTTGACATCACAGAGATTACGCCCATCACGGTCTCGCTGGCCTGGGTGAAGCCCGACTACGACGGCGGCTCCCGCATCACCAGCTACGTGGTGGAGAAACTCCGCACCAGCGTAGAGGACAGCCAATGGGAGCGCTGCACGGTGCTGAGCCTGACTCGCTGCACCGTGACAGACCTTGTGCCGCACGAGGAGTACCGCTTCCGTGTCTCCGCACAGAACTACGGAGCCATCAGCGAACCGAGGGAGACTACTGCTGTCGTCTGCAAGGAACAGATCGGTAAGATGGCTCTCTTACACATATGTTTAGATATGACAGCATGTATAATGTGTCTAGATCTTTCATATTTAGGGCATTTTCACGGAAAAAGTCTTTCATAGTACAGAGTTTAAGTAGATCAATTTTTTAGGTGGCATTCATATGGTTTGATACAGTATCTTACATGTATACCATATGTCTCCATAAATAAGTAAAACTTTGAATCAAGAATTTGTATAATTAATGCTGTTTGCTGACATAAAAGATGTACAATGTAGTTTTAGCTCTTCATGGTAAGTTGTGGCTTGCAACCTTTGTCAAGCTACAACTCTGACCTCCTCTGTCATTTTCCTCCTAGCACCTGGGTTTATTGGCCTGCATGCAGTAACATACAGTTTACAATGTATATTTACTACCTTTGCTACGCTATAACTCTTATATATCTTTTCCTCTGTAGTTCCTGCCTCTATTGACCTGACTGCTGTGACATCAGACGTTCTGATCCTGAAGGAGGGACAGGACTTTATCCTGAAGCTGCCGTATCATGGCATGCCTACACCCGCTGTTACCTGGTATAAGGTACATAACTCTTTCTCTCTTTCTCTCTACCTGGTTTATCGTCCGTTGCTTCCCATAACCGAGGGTCAGACATGCTTGTTTACTGATGCTGGGGCTTGATGGTAGCTCACCATTTGCCTCTGTCCTGTGGTTCTTGGACACAGCAAAATCCATACCAGTACATGTAACTCTTTCTACATGTATACAGAACTGGTAGTAGATTGAAGAATGTTTAATATATGATAGTGTAATATGACAGTGTATATTGTGTAATCAATAGCTTTTGCTAATAAAAGTCTTGATCTTAATAATTATCTCAGGGGCTGGGTGTTTTCCGTGAGACCATCCGAGTTGTGACCAAGACAGTCGGCGGCGTGACGCAGCTGATCTTCCGCAAGTGTGAGAAGATGGACGGAGGAACCTACACAGTCGTGGTGGCCAACCCTGCCGGCAAACAGACTGCTGAGATCCAGTTTAAGGTGGGGCTTTGCATAAATTTTCTGTCATATACATTTGAGACACTGCGTGTAGAAGAGATTGTGAAACTATTAGTCTTCAATGTGAGATCATGTGCCTAAAATTCAGTACTCCTCTAGTGAATTTGTTCAGATTGACATCCTCACAAACAGGAAAAATATTTTTTTGGTTTATAGTCTGGAAAGAAACATTGAAGTACATTGTATGCTCTTGATAGTTTTTTCCTTTTGAAATCCGTCATTAATCACTGAGTCTTGTGGATCATTTTGCTCTAAGACTTATAGTCAAATTTACCCCAGGTAGATTTCTGAAATGTTAGCAGATCAGTTTAAAAGACTGAAATATTGCTGCATTATAAGCTAATGCTAGAAAATCATGTCAATCTCATAACCATGTGCCACAGGTTCTTGGCAAGCCTGGCCCACCCGTTGGACCAATCACGTTCGAGGACATGACACCCGAGACGGCCACGCTGAACTGGCAGGTCCCATTGGACGACGGCGGTGGTGACATCACCAACTACGTCGTTGAGAAGTCTGACAACCGCGGCGCGTCCTGGGTATACGTGAGCAGCAACGTCAAGCGCTGCTGCCTCCGTGTTACCAAACTCGTGCACAAGAAGGAGTACCTGTTCCGCGTTAGCGCCGAGAACAGGTTTGGTGTCGGCAAACCGCTCACGTCTGAGTCTGCTGTCGCCAAGTATCCTTATGGTAAGTATCAGGCTGTTTTGCTACATTGTTCGATCGCTACAGTTGATTAGCTACATGGTACAAGACAATTTATTACATTGTAGAAGTTGATTATTTATAAGACTATGATGATCATATTTTACGTTGACAGAAATTGATTCGGTTTAAACCTTTACTATTACACCAGTTTATAGCTTTGAATGGGAATAAGCAAGAAGTATCCAAGCTACTGTAGGTAGCACTTGACATGAATGTGAGATTTATGTGAAGGATATTGACTGACTGCTTCACTGAAAATTCAGTAGAAGATGAACGCAAAACTTTACAACTTTAATTCTGAATCATTTGCCTATGGCTACAAGTTTTGAAAGGATTCATAACTTAGAATTACAGTATATGGTTCCAAGCCATTTACATTCACAACTCATATGAAGCTAACAAACTTCTTTCTCCTGTTCTCCCCAGATGAACCCACACCTCCGTATGACCTGAAGGTATCGGAGGTGACAAAGGAGAGCATGCTGGTGTCATGGCACACTCCCGAGAGTGACGGAGGCGCCGAGATCACCGGATATACCTGCGAACGCCGCGAGAGAAACAGCAACCGATGGGTCAAGGTGGGGAAACAAACATACAAACATACTAACTTACAAAACAGGACTTGCAACATACAGGTTTCAAACGCTTACAAATTCTTAAAGAACAAACAGAACTGAGGCCTTTATTTTTCTCAACCTGCAAAACAGAATCTGAATTTAGATATACAGAACCAAGATCTTGTTTCAAGTGCAGACCAAAACAAATATTTTAGAAATCTGCCCTACCCCTTGTAGTTTTCCTAATACATGTACTACCATAATGAATGTCTACCATATATGCTATCATGGTAAGATACTGTGTATATCAAAAGCTTATTAAATATAATAATGATACAAAAACGTCCTTTTTTTAGCTTGTGTAGAATGATACACTGTCTTGAAATGCATTGACAACAGTGCATTATTTCGTTATTTCCTAACATTTGATGTTTTATCTTGTCCCAGGTCACTAAGGGCATGATCCGTAAGTGCGAGGTCCACTCGTATGGGCTGCTGGACAGTTGTGAGTACGAGCACCGCGTGTACGCGCACAACGCCGCCGGAACCAGCAAGTACAGCGAGTCCACCGGCCTCATCACCGCCGTGGACCCTGTCGGGGTTCCGCCCGGACTCAAGGTCACACACATCACAAGGTCGTCCGTCTCCCTGGCCTGGCGAGAGCCCGACAGTGACGGAGGAGCAAGGTGGGTCAAGTTACAAGTCTTTTTTTTTTTAAATTTCAAACGTACATTTTCTTACATTTTTCAGAGAAAAACATGATGCACCTTGAAGTTCCCTAAATTGTGTTTGCTCTACAATACTGGTGTTCAAATAAACGTTGCAAAGCAGTACATTTGATGTAGGTTTGTATGCATAGTAATCACAAGTGCTAAAACAACAGTCATTGGCAATACACGAAACCAAGGAAAAAGGCTAACAGAGACACTGTCAAACTGGAAAGTTAGGAATTAAGTAGTCCTAGATTCCTTGCCAGTTTATCACTGTAAGCACGTTTTAGCTACATCATTTGTTACTTTTGTCTCCAGACTGATTGGCTACATCGTGGAGCGTAACGAGATTGCCACCGGAAAGTGGGTTTCCGTCCACAGCGGCGTGGTCTCAGAGCGCACATACACACTGAAGGGCCTGAAGATGAACGGGAAGTACGAGTTCCGCGTGACGGCAAAGAACGCTGCCGGGCGTAAGAGCGAGCCCTCGCCACCCACCCCGCCTGTTATCTGCAAGGATGATCTGGGTACAGACATTTTTTATCATCAATTCTTTCATTAGACAATTCTTAATAAGATCTCCTATTGTTGTAGTAACAGTTTCCCTGCAGTTACATGTAGATCCTGGTTTGCATGATAGGTAAAAGAAGAAGTTGCATTAACTTGTAACCTGCAATGATAACTGTACGATAGATGTACCTGCTGGACTTCATTACCGTACAACTTTTCTTACTTTAGTTAAGTCCACAGCACTGCAGAAGTATACCAACAACTTTCTTGATAGAAAGTCTATAATTATGTGTAACATTTTTCAGATATTTTTAATGTTCAGATTAAGGAAGTGACTGTGACTGAGATGTTATTAAGCTGCAAATTGAGTCAAATGCTGATTTACATTGTATAACCTTCAACTTTTTCTGCAGCGCCCCCTACCGTTTCCTTCGAGAAGGGCAAGGCAAACATCCACGTGAGGGAGGGCCAGACCGCCGTGTTCACCGCGGCCGTCAGCGGCAAACCCTTCCCAGAAGTCACCTGGAATCGCGGCGCGCGCATGGTGTCCAAGGTTCGCTTATTCCCTGCTTGTGTCTGCACACTCACTCACTCACTGTCTGGTTTATCGTCTGTTGTTCCCCGTCTTCCGAGGGTTAGACATGCTTGCACTGTAATTCTGAGGCTTGATGGCAGCCCGCCACTTGCCTCAGTCCTGTGGGTTCATGTTTGATAATTGGTTACCCCCACGTATGTAGGGGCAAGGCACATGGCCGTAAGCTTAGAAACTCGAACAACTATTGCCAGTTCAAATTTATGACATCTCATTTCATGAATACCACCTTACCATATTCTGTTAAGCTCTTGAATGCAATGTGAGAATGTCTGTCGCTGACCTCTAATTCTAGATATTCAAGTCTAATAGTCTTCGGAGGTGTTTTATAGTATGTATGATAGTACGCTGCAATGTAGCCTCAAGGCTACGATTTTGTACTTTTAATGTGTGATGTATGAATAACCCAATTCATCTCTCATCTCTCCAGACGGCGCGGCACAAATTCGAGAAGACAAATCGCACGGCTGTGCTCACCATCTTGGAATGCACGCGCGCGGACGCAGGGGAGTACAACGTCAGGGTCAAGAACGACTCTGGACTCGCCGAGGCCAAGTGCAAGCTGCAGGTCTTCTGTAAGTGTCAATAAAATTTACTTCAATCAAAAAAATCATAATAATAGAAAACAGTCACTGTCCCCTTGTCTACAAAATTTACTGTTCTGGTACTAGACAAACTTATTTCGACCACTTGTAAGTGATTAAATTAAAAAGAAAAACTATTATACGGTCATATGTACTACATACTTGATACATAGATCTAAACTTATAATTATTCAAATACTGTAAAGATTTTTTGAAGAAATGTTAAGTGATCATCTAGTTTAACATAATGTGACACTCATCTCACGATGCTTTTTTCTTGGCCTGTTTTAGCCAAACCACAGCCCCCCACAAACTTCGAGGTGATCGACAAGAGCCCAGACCACGCCATGATTGGCTGGCAGGAGCCAGAGGATGATGGCGGATCACCTGTCACCAGCTACATCGTGGAGCGCTGCGATCTCAGGTATGGAGGGATGCAACATCCTAAAAAAAGGGTTTTAAATAGTTGCGGCATGATGATTTTAATAAGTAATATGTGATATGTGCACGCAATTCAGCCTGTGGCTGCGATGTGAAACATACCAATTGTACTGTTTATTGTATTTGTGAAATAAACCAATATATATAAAAACTTTTTTAGCATTATGATGGTGTAGATAGCCTTTACTGTTGCAGTGCATGCACAACTGTGGTCCAAGGACAATAGAAACCATATATGTGGATGGGCAGAGCCCTATGCACTATCTTGTGCGTGAAGGACTTAAAGACACTTGAAGACACTTTTAAATTAACAACTTTCCTTTTCCTCCTTCGTAGACTTAAGACATTCAAGAACTTTTACTTTCCTCCTTCTTCTTAGACTTGCCACTTATGAGTACTCATTTTCTTCCTTCATGGACTTAAATGACTTGAAATACTGAAGAACTTTCCCTTTCCTCCTTCTTAGACTTAAGACACTCAAGAACTTTTCCTTTCCTTTTCTTCAGGTCTCCAGACAACTGGACCCGTGTCAGCGCTGCCGTGAGGAAGACGTCTTACAAGGTGACGAGGCTGGCGCCGGGATCGACTTACATCTTCCGCATCTCTGCCCAGACAGAGATCGGAGTGGGACTGCCTCTTGTATCACCACAAGTGGTGGCAAGACATCCATTTGGTGAGTCATCATTTTCTTTTATTCTATAAAATAGTGTTTCAATCTTTACTATTGGATTTAATTGTCAGACATTTAAAGTGTCTGTCCAACACTCTTTATCAGTGAAGAAAAATGTTATATGTGTTGTAATTTTATATACTATGTTATCCTTATCTGTCCACACTAAGAATTACAAATGTATGTCAGCATTTTTGGTGCCCACAGGGAATTACATCATCAGTTATAATTTGTGTACACAGGGAACTAGACATCCATATAACATATTATCAACTTTTACAAATATTATCTTCACTAGCAGTTTAGTACAAGATGGTAATAACATGAAAGAATGAACCTTTTCTATTAATCTAAACACTTCTGAATCATAACTTTCTTAAACTTTACAGGCGTGTTTTTAACACTTCCAATGTAAGCAAGGACTGGCTTTTTCATAAAGGCTTGTACTGAAACTGGTCATTATAACTTTGCAGACAATTTCTAAACATTTTCAACCTAAAAAAGGACTGACAATTCTTTAACAGTCTAAAGAAGGGCATGCTTTTTCTCAAGCTCTATTCAGTATAGTTTTATTAACTCTGAGCCTGTTCTTTCCCCCAGATACTCCGAGCCAGCCCGGCAAACCGGAGGTATCAGACGTGACCAAAGACTCCATGAAGCTGACCTGGACCCTGCCTGACACCGACGGAGGCTCTGAGATCCTCGGTTACATCGTAGGCCGCAAGGAGCGCACCGCTGTCAGGTTTGTTTGTTTGTTTAGAATCTCCATTAGTGATGCAAAACTGTATACTTATTTTCCCGGAGTCCTAATATTTACAATACAATTGTACTTTTTATAGCAATGCAATACATAGCAAATTACAATATCTTAGTCAACATTAACTTTTGTTGCACTTAAAGTGAAAGTAATTGTGGTGTATCTACCTCCACACTTTGGTTATATTACACTAAACAACCTGTTACACCTGATCTTTGCACATCTAACTGTAAACATTGTTTAAAGCTACCTAGTGACAATGCCCCTACTGTACTTGGTGGCAGGGAGTTCCACTCTACAATGGAACAAAGAGTTTTATATATTACTTGTGCCTCTTTTTCTCCAGGTGGGCCCGTATGAACAAGTCTTTAGTGAAGGACTGTAGGTACATCGATGAGACTGTGGATGTGATATACTTCTGTTTTATTCCCAGGTGGGCCCGTATGAACAAGTCCCTGGTTAAGGAGTGCAGGTACATCGATGAGACTGTGGATGAGGGTCTGGAGTACGAGTACCGCATCACCGCAGAGAACGAGGCGGGACGCAGCAAACCCAGCGCTCCCAGCCAGCCAACCGTCGCTCAGGACCCACTGGGTATGGCTGATTCTGTTACCATGGCAACTTTGAACTTAATTCTATAGCAGAATGTCAAATATAGCTGACTAAGGAGTTAAACTTATACACAGAAGTCAGTAGTGGAATGTTCCAGTTATGTTCCTACATTATGCATTATAGAAACAATGGCTGTGGTTACAAAGATTTTGATAAAAAAATCTCTTGCATTCCTTTATTTCAAAATCATTTCTAAATCATAGTTTAGCATTTGCATAGTCACAAAGATACTGATGAAAAGATCTGGAATATCTTCAGAAACGATCACTTTGGCATCAACTTTAACTGGACGAGTTTGCATACGAAGACAGTCATAAGAATATGTTTCATTCCTGCAGGTAAGCCCGGTGCTCCTGTCGTGTTTGTTGACGACACCACGCGCTCCTCCGTCTCCCTGACCTGGAACCCGCCCGTTCGCGACGGCGGCAGCCGCGTCACCGGCTACATCGTGGAGATGCGCAAACAGGACGGGGAGGAGTGGACCAAGGCCCACGCCACCTCCGCTGTCAGGTACAGTAGATTCTTTATTGACTCAACAAACAGTACACTATGGTCTTATTTTTATTTTTATTTTATTGAAATTGCAATGATGCAATACACGCGGGACAGAGGCAGCTGTTGCTGGTGTTGTGTCCCGCACATAGAAACGAATACTGGCATAGAAACAATACTCATTTTCACTTGAGTCTACTGGGGAAAGTCGTGTAAAGTGCCTTTCCCAAGGGCACAAGATCGGTGGTATGTCAGGACTCGAACCCGGGACCTCTTGATTCCGAGTCATGCACTCTGCCGTTGCGCCACACGACCCCACTATGGTCTTCTACAACTAAAGATTTAACAAAGCTAAATACACTATGAATAAAGTCATCCTACGTACAGAATATATGAATGTGGCAAAGTATGTACAGAATATATGTCAGCGGCAACAACGAAGGTTTAACTAATAGTATTCTCTAACATGTATACTCTCTAAGATTTAAACATTCTTGAATGTATTTCCCTATTTGAACACTGTATTGGCTATCTACCCTGAGATTGTATCTATCTATAGGATCTAAAACGATTTAAAAGAAAAGCAAAAGTAAAAGACATGCCAAGTCCTTAATTCCACGATGTTTAACACTGCTCTATACTACATGTAAATCTGAATCACAGGCTGACGGAACTCACCATCGACAAGCTGACCGAGGGACAGGGATACAAGTTCCGTGTTAGCGCTATCAACGAGATCGGCGTCGGCGAGCCCGGAGAGGTGGAAGGAGTGGTCTTTGCCCGTGACATGCTTGGTGAGTGTGGTGAACAACATAGCAAACTCAGTATAGTTCTAGAACGCTGAAGGATCTGAGGTTTAAGAGAGAGTAACGTTAACTCCTGTCTCCTGCATGCAGTTTTTCCATTCACAATACTTATAGGATTATGAGCATACCTCAGCATTTGTGAGCATTTGTAAACTATCAATATTCAAAGTGAAAATTTATCTACATCTACATTTTAGAAGATAAGTCTACACACATTTATACACATGGGTTTCTGTTTTTCATGCAGTTAGTGCCATGTGCAAGGTGCTTGGTAATGTAGTTAGTGACTCGGAGTTGTTTTTAGATTATTCCATGTGTTTAGAATTGGGGCTGACGATATTTCCTGTTTCCCTGAGTACAGAAGCGCCCGAGGTTGAGCTAGATGTGAGCCTGAAGAGGGCCATGAAGGTGAACGCAGGAGCGCCCATCCGCATCTACGTCCCCATCAAGGGCAAACCTCAGCCTACATGCACCTGGGAGAAGGATGACAGGTCAGAACTAGTCTAAGAACAATTGTTCATTGTCCTGTTATGAGGGCTAGCCCTTTATAATAGCCTCTGACCTAGTTGGGCAGTCCTGGCTGCATATCTGAGTGTTTAAAATATCAAATCAAACAAGTCCAAGATTTTATTCAGTCTACGGCCACAGGAATGACATGCTCTGGATACCCTAAATCTAACACAAGATTACTAGAAGATAAATGCGGTCTGAAAAAGCAACATTTTTAAAATGAAGACTTAGTATTTCGTGACTGTGCTTAAAAGGAAGACAAGGCACAACATACAATGATTCTTACCAGATATTGTCATCTTCCTTTTTGCAAAAAGTAAATCATGACTTTCTTTAACACCAGAAACAACCCTTTTATAAGTTCCATTGGACATCTTCAGTGGTCTGCTCTCCAACTTCTGTGCCACACAAACAAGTGTTTCTTTTTAATGGCATAGTAATCATTTATAATCATTTTCCAAGAAGTAAATGATTTAACACCAAAAACAACTGTTACAGACAATATCATGGCAAAATAAACATTTATACTGATTTTCCAACGATGTTTGCTTGCAGTGACCTGGAGAACCGTGCCACAATCCAGACCAGCGAGATTGCCACTCAGCTGGTCATCAACGCCGCCGACCGGCGCGACGCCGGACGTTTCAAACTTACCGTGGAGAACTCCAGCGGCAAGAAGGAGGTCGGAGTCAACGTCAAGGTCTATGGTACGTCTCAGAAATGTCTTGGAAATGTCTTAGAACTGTGATCTTTTATGGCACCAATTCAAAGCATCTATTGCTCTCTTTTGTATTGAAGGTTAAAAGGCAATCATGGAAGTTCATCTGAGTAGTTTGCATAGTACAAAACTTCCAACACAAAAATTTGAGTTACAACAGTTACTGTTCCTTGTCCAGTCTTCATCATTTGCCCCATTGGTTCTGGAGTAGGCAGCAGGGAGAAGGTTAATAACAGCCACAGTTTCAGCACTGAGGACAGGGCCATTACATACTGACCATCATATTTGCATTGGTCAGTTAGTCAGCAGGTAGAAGGTTAAGGACCCTTGGGCCCACCACTAATGGTTATCGTGAATAAAGTTTCAAAGCACACTTAAGGTGATAATATCTCCCTTTCCACAGACACCCCTGGCCCCCCTGAGCACGTGCGTGTGCGTGACGTGACCAAGGCCTCTGCCATCGTGAGCTGGGCACCGCCCATCAAGGACGGCGGCCGCGCGGTGGGACACTACATCCTGGAGAAACGGGAGCAGAGCAGACGGACATACACAACTGTCGATGCTAACGTCTTCAAGACTTCTTACAGGTGTGTAAACTTCTTTAAGACAGGTCTTACATGTTCGAGCTGTTGAGAGCTAAGTTTGGAAAGATATTCTATTGTAAACATGTGAAAATAATTGTTACAGTGGCCTTGAGATTGAAAAAGTTAGCTAAAATATATTTAACAGCACCAAAAGAAACTGTAAAGAGTCTTTGCAATAACAGAAGATCATATTATTTACTGAGAAAAATAAATAGCAGTAAACCTAACAGAAAAATTTCGAATCCACTTCCAGAATCACGAACCTGGTGGAAGGAAACATCTACTTCTTCCGCGTTCTTGCCGTGAACGAGTTTGGCGTGGGAGAGCCGGGAGAGTCAGCGGAACCCTGCCTGGCCACTGACCCGGTCGGGGAGCCTGACCCACCCAAGAAACTCTGCATTACGGAGATCACACCGATGACGGTCTCACTGGAGTGGCAGAAGCCTGACTACGATGGTGGCAGCCGCATCACCAGCTACGTTATTGAGAAGATGAACACTACTGAGGAGGAACCAAGGTTTGTTTGTTTGTTTATCTATTTATTTATTACGATAGCATTACGGAGATCACGCCGATGACGGTCTCACTGGAGTGGCAGAAACCGGACTACGATGGTGGCAGCCGCATCACCAGCTACGTTATTGAGAAGATGAACACTACTGAGGAGGAACCAAGGTTTGTTTGGTTACAAGATTTTATTATGTTTACCACATATTGCTTTTGCCCAATTTCTTCCTCCTCTTCTACTTCTTCAATCACCTAAGGTCAATGACCTGGACCAGATGGCTGTCACCATGGTAACTAGTGCTGTAGCAACACCCTGTGGTGTCAGGTTTTTTAGCAGGACAGAGTTGGGAGAGCCATTCACCATGTACTAGTATTATATATATAATAGATGAATGAGTTTTAGTAATAAACAGAGCAGTAGTTTGGTAAAACTATCTAGAAAAATTGTGAAGGTAAATATTATGCATTTGCTTTGCAAATGTTACCTTTTAGTTTCTAGTTTCAGTACTAAAAATTTTTGTTCTCTCCCCATTACTAAGGTGGGAGAAGTGCTCCACGCTGAGCCTGACCCGCATCACGGTTGCTGACCTCATCCCTAACGACGAGTACAAGTTCCGCGTGTCGGCGCAGAATGCCGGCGCCATGTCTGTACCTGAGGAGGTCGGGCCTGTCACTGCCAAGGAGCAAGTCGGTACGTCGAGAAACAAAGTTTATCCTTCCTCATGTCTTAGATTATTTGCTAAGGAGCAAGTCCATACATAAAGAAACACAGCCTTCCTCAGGCTAGGTGTTAGTTTGTTTTCTAAGAACCAAGTCCGTACTAAGAAACAAACCTTCTACGGGTATTTGCTAGTTTTATATGTACCTGTGGGTAGGTTTAAAGACAAACAGTGGTGAAAATCATAAGTCAAGTCTCAAGAAAGGTAGCTGTAAACTTTTAGGTGCAAACATTTTTTTCAACTTTAGCTCAAGATACCCTTTTTCCTTAATTTTTTCTGGTCCTAAGGCCACACCAATTTAATTTGTTGGTTCTCGGATTCGCCTCTTCGTTTTTTTCTGATTTGCAAAAAAAAATAATAAAATGATTCTGGTCCTGAATCAATTGAAAAATGCTCATGTTTTGCCCCCCAACAGTTGAGGAAAGTCCTTTTCTTCCTAGTTGTTACAGTTTTCCCATCTATCATTGCAGTGGTTTGATTAAAAGTTCAAAATTCAATGTTTAAATTTTAACCCAGCCTTTTGTGTTGACTTCATGGCTCATTTTGTAGCATTCAAGCCTATAATAGGATGCCTAGACCTGTTTTTATTTTTATTTTTTTTCGCCCTGTCGCTTCATATTTTTTCTGAAAAAATCCGAGAACCAACAAATTAAATTGGTGTGGCCTAAGGTTTCCTTATACTATTTCTCAAACCTTTTACCCTCATGTATAACAATATTTAGGTTTTTCACCTCAGTTACTTCTGAATCAGTTCCTGCATGATCATGATGTTTTGTCTGTTTTGCCCCTACAGAGGCCCCGCACTTTGACCTGACAGACCTGGCAGGAGACACCTTCACCCTGAAGGAAGGAGCAGACGTCAACCTGGTCCTGCCCTTCACTGGTCTGCCGGCACCGTCTGTGGAATGGTGAGCAAGAACATTCTTTCTAAAAACAATAGACTTAGTCTAGACTTATAAGTACCTTACCTTAGATCTTTGTTCCTCCCAGAACTCATGTTGGTCATTGGCAATTTACCATGGTAATAAGACGACCATTGTCTTTGTAGCACATGCTAAATGTCCTCTGATCACAGTTCTGAAACACCAAATGTATCAGAAGTTATTTTTCTTAAAGAATAGCTAGCTCCAGTTTCAATGCTTGTCTGTCCCCAACATACTTATGTAGCAGATGTTTTTCATATGATTTTGATGAAGATTTTACGAACAATTGCTAGCAGTCCACTGTATCTCCAGAAGTTGACGGTGGGTATAGTTTTGTGTTTTTCAAGTCTACATTCTGGACAGATTGCAAAACCTTCAAACTAACCCCCACCCCTACCACCCCAAGGTTCCGAGGGTTGGGTCCCCTGCGTGAGACGGACAGCCTGGTGACCAAACACACGCGTAACTCCACCTCCCTCATCGTGCGCAAGATCCGCAAGGCTGACGGCGGAAAGTACCGCGTCGTCATCAAGAACAAGCTGGGAGAGGAGAGCACTGAAGTTACCTTTAACATTATTGGTGAGTGTAGAACCTGTTGTAACCAGAAAATGCCTTTTGAGGTCTACATGTTGTAGGGATCTTGATATGTTTCCAAACTTTTGGACTGTTTTTCTAAACTTAAAGTGCCTAGAAATCACTTGAAGGGATATTAGAGAGGAAAGCACCTAACAAATTTGACTCAAGTAGCTTTGGTCTCAGTTAAGAACATTGTCTGACAGATTGTCTGATAGATTTTAAAAGATGTGTAACACTGTCTCATCTGTTGTTTCCAAGTCATTTAGTTCTTGATGCTTTTCATTTCTGGCAATAAAATGGTTCAGATTTTGAAAGTTAGATTTACCACTAGTAATGCTGTGTTAACCCTAAATTTGAACACTGTATTAACCCTTTTTTCCCAGGCAAGCCCGGTGTTCCCTCCGGTCCAGTGGAGTTTGAGGAGGTCGGCCCAGAGTCGATCACGCTGAACTGGCAGCCTCCGACGGACGACGGCGGAAGCTACATCACAAACTACGTCGTGGAGCGAACCGAGAACCGCGGCGTGAGCTGGGTCTACGTCAGCTCCAACGTCAAGCGCGCAAACCTCCGCGTCACGAAGCTCGTGGAGAACAAGGAGTACATCTTCCGCATCAGCGCTGAGAACAAGTTCGGCGTGGGACCAGCGCTCACATCAACCAGCGTGTTTGCCAAACTGCCTTTCGGTATGTCAGACTATGCAATTCAGATTCTTCTTTTTATTTAGGAACAGCTTTGTCTAATAAAAGTGTACATTTTTATAGATTATGGTATTGTATGGCAATGATTTTTGATAATTTTTCAATCGTCAGTAAACTTCAACTGCTTGGACTCATTGCTCATCAAAGAAGATCATTCCTACAATCTACAAGCTTTCTGCTGCTGCAAATATTTTTCTGGTGTGTGCTTTTCCCAATGTAGGCTTCTACCTTTGATACTGTGTCACTGTAACAATGCCATGCTTTTAACTGTAATTATTACAATAAGTGCTTTAGAGTTGTGCTTCAATGTGTGTGAAACAAGAAAACCTTTCAGTAAGGTATAACAAATTCAATAATATTCCCCCTCAGATCCGCCAGATGCACCGACCAATGTCCAAGCCTTTGACACCAGTAAGGCGCAGATGTCAGTGAGCGTGGGAGGCTCCCGACAAACGACGGTGGCTCTGAGATCACCGGATACATCTGTGAGCGCAAGGAGCGCGGCAGCCGCCGATGGGTCAAGGTGAACAAAATACCCAATCAAGAAGCTGATCTGCCAGTCCGCTGGGTTCAACGAGGGCTCCGAGTATGAGTTCCGTGTCTACGCGATCAACGCGGCCGGCGACGGGAAAATACAGGTTTGTTTAAAGTTAAAACTTTTGATCCAGCACAAAAAGTTCTTAGCAATAGTTTTAGACAATTACCATTTAGTATGTAGGTTTGAAGTTATTTTGTACACTGTTTCAATGTTCTTTTATCCTTGTTATTTGCAATTAGCATTCATGCAGGAATTTGCAATAGACTTATCATTCATTCATTTCTACAGCGAGAGTTCGTACCCAGCCATTGCCCGCGATCCTGTTGGAGAGCCGAGAGACGTCAAGGTTGTGGACATCACACGCGCGTCGGTCACGCTCTCGTGGCACTACCCGTCTTACGACGGCGGTGCTCGTGTGATCGGCTACATCGTGGAGAGATGAACCAAAGGAGGGAACATGGGTACAGGTGCACGGAGGCATCATCAAGGCTCAGCACTTCAAGGTAAATAGTTTAAACTTTATTCCTACGGTGTAGGTCCTCCAGTAACCAGCTAGAAACTGTCAAAGCTCAAAATGAAAGGTTTACAAAAAGAGTCTGATCTATTACATGACCAAGTGGTTGAACAATATAAGTGAAAAGAAGTAAATGATTATCATACAGCATTTGACATGTCCGACTTTTTTGAATGCATTGCAATATTTTAACTGTATTTTGTCTTTGAGCTAAGACATGCAGTTCTCACATATTCTGCCAGAGGTCCTCATTGACACACGCTGCTTCTATTTAAACTCCAGGTGAAGGGTCTGGTGATGAACGAGAAGTACACCTTCCGTGTCCTGGCGAAGAACGCCGCTGGAATCCGCAGCAAGCCTTCCCCTGCTACTCCTCTTGTCATCTGCAAGGATGAACTCATCGCACCCAAGATTTCTCTGGACTACTCTGTCAAGGACAAGACCGAGGTATCTATAATATTATTTGTATCTGTATAGCTGGTATAACCGCCCGTCGGCGTAACACACCAGCTTCTGTATCTGTATAGCTGGTATAACCGCCCTTCGGTGTAACACACCAGCTTCACAGTCACACGGTGCGGCCACAGAAAGCTATATAGCATCGAACGACCAATTACACTCAAACTTAGGACACTTAATTTATTGTTTAAAGCTAGCTAGCAATGATGCCCCAACTGTGCTTGGTGGCAGCAAGTTCCAATCTACGATAGTTCTTGGAGTTTTTTAACACCTCATTCTTGGTTGATATTTAACTCTGATATTTGAAGGCATGACTGTTTCTTGTTCTTTTCTGAGCTGGTATCAGATACTTCCACCAGTTTATTGATAGTCATTTTGTACATCACAGGTCTTCGTGAACAAACCGTTCGACATCGGCGCGGCGGTTTCCGGAAAACCGGAGCCGGAGATCGTCTGGACCCGTAACGACCGCGTCATCGTCTCCACGGAGATGAGGAAGATCAAGTACGGCCGAAAGACGGTTCTGACGGTGAAACACGCCAGCCGAGAGGACGCCGGCATCTACAAGATCGTCGTTAAGAACCCGGCTGGACAGGCAGAGGTGAGGACAGAGGTTTTATTCTTAACTTTTCTGAGTCCGCCACGGCACTCTTGTATTGTAATACAACCATCACTAGTGCAATATACAAGTTTTTCATCTCAATACAATTGTGTACCTTTTCTTTTCTCTTGGCTGAGAATGTTATGACAGTTGTGTACAAAGAACAAAAATATGCATCATCTCTCAGGAGTTTTCTGTGATTATCTTTTTGTCTTAACCAAGAAATCAGAAGTCACCAGAGATCAACATGTAGAACTCCATAGGTGCGCAGATAGTCTGTTAGACTGAACTCCCAAAGATGAAGATGAAGATGAAGACCAAGAAATATAGATAGAGAGCACGTCGGCAGAACGTACTGCACCTGCGCAAAACCCGTAATGTATTGTGAGTAGCACTTCAGCAGAATGTCTCATATAAGGTTGTATTTGCTCATATGAGGTTAGCATTCCGACAGTAGTTTGAAATGTTACGTCGGAAAAGATATCGTCTGCAACAGGCAAAATTCTGATGCAACGTTGACCAAATATCCAACGAAAACCACAAAAATCCAGGGTTCTGCGCAGGCGCAGTACGTTCTGCCGACGTGCTTAGATAGAGTTCTTTGCGATTGTTACTATTTACATAATATATAATGTTACATTTCACACCAGGTGCGCACGGAGGTGGCAGTCCTGGCTAAACCAGACATCCCTGCAGGACCAGTCAGGGTGACAGACATCCATCCCGAGGGCTGTGTCATCGGCTGGGAGCCTCCAGAGGACACCGGAGGAGCGCCCATCACTAACTTCATCGTCGAGAGGTGAGGGAACTTGTGCTGTTTAGAACTAGTTCATCTAGGATTACATGCATAACCAATATTCTGCAACCTCTGTTCTGCTCTGGGAAAATGTGGTTAAGGTGTAATTCTCAATGGAAATCACTGGAATACTATTAGTCTGTTACATGTAGGTTCTGTTGTAGTGATGCATACCTAAACCCAATTTTAGGTTCAGGTCCGGATTCAAGTCCAGAGGTTTAGGTTCAGGTCCGGACTTGTAAGTCCTGACCTGAACCCATGGCATATACAAAATTGCATGTTGGCAACCTTGCAATGTTGTCTGGGTGAAACTTTGGCCACATAACATGGAGGCCAATACTTGACGATGCCCGATGGCAATGTTTTCTTCGTTTTGCAGCAAAGATTTTACAATCTACGGAAGGTTTTAGGTGGTTTGGAAAGAAAAGGGGTATGTGAAATGGTCTTTTATGGTAATAAGTCCGGACTCGGTTCTTGACTTTTAGGTTTTTTTGGACTTGAACCTAAACATTCTTTCAAGTCCGGATCCAAGTCCAGTGAACCGGTATGCATCACTATTCTGTTGCTGTCCTTCCGAATGAAAACCGGTGGAACCCGTACTACAGTTTGTAAAGTTGTGATTGTTTTGGTACTGTCCCTGGTGCTGAAAGTCTGGTGAAATGGTAGTTCTGAATGGAAATCACTGGAAAACTACAGTTTGATAGGTTCTGTTGTTGTTCTGAATGACAACCACTGGAATACTACAGTTTGTAATGTTCTGTGGCTGTATTGGTACTGTCCCTAGTGCTGAAAATGTGGTTATATTGTAGATTTGAATGGAAATATCTGGAATACTATTACAGTCTGATAGGGTCTGTTGTTCTGAATGAAAACCCAAGGAATACTTTAGTTCTCTGGTTGTATTGGTACTGTCCCTAGTGCTGAAAATGTGGTTATATTGTAGATTTGAATGGAAATATCTGGAATACTATTACAGTCTGATAGGGTCTGTTGTTGTTCTGAATGAAAACCCAAGGAATACTTCAGTTCTCTGGTTGTATTGGTACTGTCCCTAGTGCTGAAAATGTGGTTAAGCTGTGACTCTGAATGGAATACTGCAGTACTGGACTACAGAACTGAACTTGCATCCTGACTATTATTCACAGATGCGAGGCTAAGAGCCAGGACTGGATGTTGCTGAGTAAGGCTGTGAGGTCTACTCGGCAGAAGATCACTCGCCTGACACCCGGCATGGTGTACCAGTTCCGCATCTTCGCACAGACCATGCACGGCATCAGTGTGCCTCTGGTGTCTGATCCTATCGAGGCTAGATATCCATTCGGTAGGTGGTCAACATTTATTTCTTTATCTATTTCATGAGCACTTCTGGTTGTTTCTTTAGCCACGGTTTTCCTAAAAGTTGATATTGATTTTATAGGACAAGTGTGAATGATCATCAAAAGTCAGTTGTAGAGAATAATACTTGTCATATGTAATCTTGGCATAGAAAGTTGAAAGCAAATCCTGATGTACAGTCGTTTTTAAGGTGATGCATTTCATAATGATATTGGAAACTGCAGCTCTTTTTACTGCCGGGTATGTGTTGAAGATATTTAGAAACAGATATAAATGCGGAGATTGTATTCCTCGTGTACTGTTAACGTAGTACCAACAAATTCTGGTAGCTTCCTCTTTGTGAGAACTTGTGTTTGACAATGTTGTTTGTATGTTTCAGACCCTCCTTCTCCACCCATGAAGCCAGTCCTGAAGGACAAGAGCAGACATCACCTGGCCATCAAGTGGGACGCTCCCGAGACTGACGGAGGCAGCCCCATCACTGGCTACATCGTCGAGCGCAAGGTAGTTTGCTTTCTAAGTAATTCTCATTTGCAGATTATGGAATCTCATTTAATGGGATCACTTCTGTCTGCAAGAGAGCTCAGAGATATCAATCCTGTATTGGTATAGTAACTGTTGTGGTCTTATTGCAAGTATCTCTGTGATTCAGTGTTATTGGCTCACATGATGATGATGATGATGATGTTATTTGCTATTGATGTGAAGGTCTCTTCACAAAGCTGCAGTATTTTCCCTAAGTTATGTGACTTTTCTCAAGTCCATGGCTGATTTAATGTGTTTTCTAGAATGGGCTTGTTTAAAAAGTACTTGATATAGCTGAATAAGATGTTTGAAAATGAAATGTTTGAAAATGAAATAAATGAAAATGACCTCCCCATGTGCAGGAGCGCACGGCTGTCCGTTGGGAGAAGGCCCACCGCGGTGTGATTGAGGAGCTGCAGCTGAGGATGTCGGATGTTTGGGATAAGGAGGAGTACCAGTGTCGCGTCATCGCTGAGAACATCGCCGGCAAGAGCAAACCCAGCCCTGCCAGCGAACCGATCATCGTCAGGGACCCCTCAAGTAAGGAGCGTTTCTTAAACTGTGTCTAAGACCTTTTACTTCTAACTTTGACAAGAATGTATTATTTGATATACTTCTGATAACATTCTTCTTCTCTTGTTCGTCCCTCATAGTCCAGGATGACCAATGCCTTAGTTAACATTCTATAGCTATGGGAAATGCTTAGCTTCCTTTTATCAACATTTTACCAAAGATTAGGCCACACCAATTTAATTTGTTGGTTCTCGGATTTTTTCAGAAAAAATATGAAGCGACAGGGCGAAAAAAAATAAAAATAAAAACAGGTCTAGGCATCCTATTATAGGCTTAAATGCTACAAAATGAGCCATGAAGTCAACACAAAAGGCTGGGTTAAAATTTTAACATTGAATTTTGAACTTTTAATCAAACCACTGCAATGATAGATGGGAAAACTGTAACAACTAGGAAGAAAAGGACTTTCCTCAACTGTTGGGGGGCAAAACATGAGCATTTTTCAGTTGATTAAGGACCAGAATCAATTTTTTTTTTTTTTGCAAATCAGAAAAAAACGAAGAGGCGAATCCGAGAACCAACAAATTAAATTGGTGTGGCCTTAAGACCTATAATCTTTACTTCTCGGGTTTGATTCAAAGAAACACAAATCATCTTTGAAAATGTGTAGCATCTGCTTCCTTTTTCTTAGGATTCTAGCAGAGATTAAGCAATATCTCTTGGATGTTTTATTGGATTTGTAAACATTGCTTGCTCAGTTCTTTTTACCATAAACACTGCTTATGAAAAATAGTATATCACAATTGGAATAAATTATTAAACAATGAAATGATGCATGATAGAGGTTGAATGTCATAATAAATCTGTAAACCTTCCCCTCCAGCCAAACCCAGCCCGCCTGAGGTACCAGAAGTGACAGACAAGACCAAGACGTCCATCAGCATCCGCTGGGGACCGCCTGAGAGGGACGGAGGATCCCGTATCGTCGGTTACGTCGTGGAGATGCTGGAGGGAGTCAGTCTGGAAGGTGGGCTGTTTGTTTGTTTGCTTGTTTGTTTGTTTGTTTGTTTTTAAGATCTTCCTTCACCTTGTCAGCCCTACTGAAAAGTCCTCACTTTACGGATACAAAGGACACTGAAATCTTGTGTCTAGAAAACTTAAGATCTTTGAAACAAGGTCTATCTTCTTTAGAATAAGATTTAATATTTAAGTAGTAAATGAGACTCTTCTTCCCCTTGCAACAGACATTGATGCTTTAAAACAAGATCGTCTTTAGAACAAGATTTACATGTAAGAGAGAATCTTCTTCCACTTGTAGAAGATATTTAGAAGAAGATTCTACATTACGTGAGACCGTTCTTCCCCCTTGTAGAAGACTATCCTTTGGTACAAGATCTAAGATTTAAGAATAAAGCAAGACTGTTCCCTTTGTAGAAGATGTTATTGTGTAGTACATTAGATCTAAGATGAAATATTTTTCACCTGCAGGTGACGTAGTGTGGCTGAAGTGCCACCAGACGTCCATGATCCGGGCCATGGAGCTGGACATCACAGAGCTGAAGGAGGAACAGCCGTACAGGATCCGTGTGTCTGCCATTAACGAGGGTGGCTCTGTGGGCCAGCCTGCCGAGCTGCCCGGTCTCGTCGCACCCAGGGACATGGTTGGTGAGTGGGACACAGGATTATTGTTACAGTATAATTATAGTGGGGTAATGGTCAGGAACAGCCGTACAGAATCCGTGTGTCTGCCATTAACGAGGGAGGCTCTGTGGGACAACCTGCCGAGCTGCCCGGTCTCGTGGCACCCAGGGACATGGTTGGTGAGTGGGACACAGGATTATTGTATATTAATGGGGCATAATCATAATTTAATGGTTAGAGCAAAGAACCATAGTGTTTGATTCCCTGTAAAGCCCAGGTCATAGAAGACACAGTATATACAAAGTTTGATTACCTAATAGCCTTATACAACATTTTGCCTTACATTGTACCTGTTACAACTGATGTGTAATGAACTTAGACTTGGCTTAACTTGTGAATATTCCTTCCACAGAACCGCCCCAGCTGCACATGGATGCCATGATGAAGCGCGCCGTCACCTTTAAGGGCGGCGACCAGCTCAGACTCTGGTGCAACTTCCGCGCCAGGCCCATGCCAGACATCATCTGGGAGAAGGAAGACAGGTGGGAACACATTGTCTTTTCCCTTTCATTTATCCCTTTCATTTATTTAGCTAATATGTTATCTGTGTTCTTTTACAAGGGACACATTCAGTGCATGGACCTTTTTAGACTAAACCTGGGTACATGCACAGAATTCGGTGACTTTGGTAAAATCCTTGTATTGTCTAGAAAATCATCACTTTGAGTAATACAGACCTTCAGACAATGGTCTTATAGGAGCTCTACTCTGGCCATTGTTGTATCACAATGAGTAAAATACTTTTTGTATCAACAACTACATTAAATATTTTGTGATCTATTCAAACTCAACAATTCTTGAGACTTTGGTGACTTTCCTCAAAGATGTATTGGAAAAGCATCCTTCTTTTACGAGTATATATGAAGCATTTAGAACTCTACTTACGAAACTATTGTTTCAAAGTTATACTAAGTAAAAATGTGCCCCCCAGTGACCTGGAGAACCGTGCTAAGATCGAGACGATTGAGGTGACGAACCAGCTGTGGTGCACGCAGCTGATCATCGAGGGCTGCGACCGGCGCGACGCCGGCAAGTTCCAGATGTCCATGGAGAACTCGGAGGGCGCCGGACACGCCAACTTCATCGTTAAAGTACTCGGTAAGGGTCTTAGATCTCAGAAATAAGATATCATCTTCATAGTCAAAGTACTCGGTGGATGTCTTACATGTAGATAATGCAAGATTTCATAAATAAGACATCAGCTTCATTGTCAAGGTACTTGGTGCCTTAGGCCTTAGACAATCTGAGAAGGGTTGGTAGGAAATGTGTCATTTTTTCCTTTGCCTCAAGGATGTAAGCTTAAGAGAAATCTGAGTTGCTGAATTACTCAGAATTAAACTATATCAAACCTTTTCATATTAACCTTAATGTTTGCAGATTGAAGGGGGAAAAATTGCTCCATTTCCTCTTCTTTTATTCCAAACAAATAAGGTCAATGACCTTCACCAGATGGCTGTCACCATGGTAACTGGTGCTGTAGCAGACACTAGTGTTGGATTAAGTCATGTAAATTCATTTAGCAAGTTGCAGGACAGACGGAGGGGCTGGTCACCATATATATATGAATATATTTGAGTGAAAATAAACAGTGCCACAGTTAGTAGTTTTGCTAGGCTAGTCCGAATGTTACCTTCCTAGTTTCTCACCTGCCTGTTGTGTTCCACAGACACACCTGGGGCTCCTCTGCCCATCAAGGTCATGGAGATCACGGCGACCTCTGCCCTGGTCACCTGGACCGTACCACTGAAGGACGGGGGACGCAACATCTCGGGTTACACCTTGGAGATCCGTGAGCAGTCTCGCCGCACCTGGAAAACTGTGGCTGAGAACATCTACAAGACTAACTACAGGTGAGGACTAAATTCTTAAGACATAAATAAATAATCATAAAATGTGTTCATACTATCTATTATCTTACAGGACTGTCATATTCTTAAAATGTCCATGCTATTTTTAAGTATTTCTTGGAAAATATGTTGGGTCATTGGAGGTTTAGTCTTTTCTTAAGACAATATCACAAAAGATGTCTTGTTAACGAAAATGAGGTCTTGAAGTGTTTCCAAGATTCCTTCTGATGTTTTTCTACCTTGACCTTGCAGGGTTCCGAAGCTGGTAGAGGGTAACTTCTACTACTTCCGCGTGATGGCAGTGAACGACTACGGAGCAGGTCTTCCTGCTGAGACCACCGAGCCCATCCTCGCCATGGACCCTGTCGGTAAGTCTGATAACAGGCTATATCAAACCTCAGTTAGCCTACTGCCAGGCTAAATCTAACATTACTTCCAAGTGATGGACCTGTCGGTAAGTCTGATAACAGGCTATATCAAACCTCAGTACGCCTACTGCCAGGCTAAATCTAACATTACTTCCAAGTGATGGACCCTGTCGGTAAGTCTAATACCAGGATAAATGTAGCCCTTTCCATAAGTCTGCTACCAGGCTAAAATATTCCTTAAAGTAAGACTTTGCCATGATGCAAGAGAAATAAACAGTCACCCAGTTAGGTACATGAGAAGTGCTAACAGAGATACTTGCATGTCAGTCTTTTTTCTGCACAAAATATTATTATTATAGATTAAAATCAAGTTTAGAATTAGATAAAAGGACCATATTAATTTTATATTTATCATTTATTTCAATTTTGAGAAACTAAATGCAAACAAAATGAGCTTTTAAACAATGATTCAACCAATGCATTATACCTTTTCTGCTGATCATCAGCCCTTAAAACTTTGTCCCAAGTTATTGATTATTTTTTACATTGAATCCACACCACTAGATGCCCCTGAGTCTCCGAGGAACCTGAGGATAACAGAGGTGACGCCGATGACTGTGTCACTTGCCTGGCAGAAGCCAGAGTTTGACGGTGGCAGCCGCGTTACATCGTACCTGATCGAGGTGCTGCAGACAAGCCAGGAGGTGAGATAGTTAACCTTCACCATAGTACTTTGTCACTGAATGTGTCTACTAGTTTTCTTGGCGTTAGACAGGAGAATGTTAAACTTAAGTATGTAAGGATTGTCATGGAAAGATGTCTAAATTGTAGAAGACAAATACTGTTAGTACACCAATATTAGGTATTATGCACATTTTTCCTATTGCTTTTGGTAGCTATTTGCCAGACATATGCTTGATTTGACGCATAACTCGAGAAGCTATGGAGTGGATTGTCATTAAGGTAATTTTCGGACCCCCCTGGCAGCCTTTCCTTCATGCTGCAGCAGAACTTTTTAATACGTTAACCTACATTTGTTTAACCATTCCTTCGTTCCCACCCCAGGAGATGGGCTGGGTGCGTCTGACCACCCTGAGTCTGACCCGCTACACGGCCACAGGCCTGACGGAGTTCGAGGAGTACAAGTTCCGCGTCTCCGCGCTGAACGTGGGCGCACAGAGCAACCCCGCAGAAGTCGGACCGGTCGTCTGCAAGGAACTCATCAGTAAGTCTGAAGTCTTAGACTTATCTTCAAAAGTCTTCTAAGGCTTTCAGTACAATGATTCACTTTTAACTGGTTTGTGCTTTATTATGAAACACAGCCTGATGATATAATTGTGTTTGTTGTAAAACAATGTTAAAACTACCATCTTACTTCAGATCAATTCACAACTAGAAATTCAGTATTGTAGAGGGGAACATCTAATTCAGGAAACACTGATGATGCAAAATGTTGTTAACTCCCACATTTGAGTAAATACTTGCTTCAGATTATCATAGCAATACAGTTAAAGATGCTACCATAAGCATATCTGTTAGACAGTAGTCACAATGCAAATTTTACATGGTAGAACACAACAGCCAACTCCTATTTCAAAGAATGTTTGATGGAGACTACCGGTAACACTTTGTCTCTCACCACAGTTCCTGCTGGATTTGACCTGACCGAACTGAAGGGTGATACCTTCACCGTGAAGGAAGGCAAGGACCTGACCGTGGCCCTGCCATTGGTCGGCGTGCCAAGGCCAAAGGTCACCTGGATGCGCGGTCTTGGCGTGCTTCGCGAGAGCGACAGCGTGGTGGTGAAGACTAACCACGTGCACACGACGCTGCTTGTGAGGAAGGTCCGAAAGGCAGACCGCGGGAAATACACCGTCAAGGCTGAGAACCACGCCGGAGAGGCCACTGCTGAGATCAACATCAACGTTCTAGGTAAGGGGTCATACTTGTTGTTTTTATGTTTAAACTTCAAGGTTTTCTTTGTACAGATACATTTTGAAATGTTGTCTGCCCATTCCTTTCTGTCTGCAACTAAAACATGCTGTAAATAATCTTACAGGACCCTACTGTTCTTGAAGATCCCAAAATGAAAAACAGATTGAAGAACATAATTACATGGTGGTCGTTCACAGTTCACTGAGTGTATAGCAATAACTATGAATATAGTGCAAAACAGAGGAATTGTCTCAAATTCAGACATAGTTTTCTAATCTTTTGATCCTTGTGTCAGAAACAGTTTAATGTATTTTCTGACCCGTTGAACTTTGCTTCGATCGTACACTGTTCGTACAATGTATAGCAAGAAGTATTGAACATTCATGTAATACAAAATAGAGGTATAAAAAAAGCACTATTTCAAATTCGGATATGGTTTTCTTACCTGTTGATGATTGCCTCCACAGGCCGTCCGGCACCACCGGTTGGACCGGTTGTGTTTGACGAGATCTGTCCGGACGCCATCAGCATCAGCTATGACTGATGATGATGATTGTTTGCTTGTGTTCTAACCTGATGTTGATGATTGTATATACAGGCCGTCCGGCACCACCGGTTGGACCGGTCGTGTTTGACGAGATCTGTCCGGACGCTATCAGCATCAGCTGGCAGCCTCCCACCGAGGACGGCGGAGCCTCCATCAACAACTACGTGGTAGAGAAGTCTGACAACCGCGGGGTGAGCTGGGTCTACGTCAGCTCCAGTGTCAAGAGGACAAGTCTGAGAGTGCCCAAACTGGTGGAGGGGACGGAGTATCTCTTCCGCATCAGTGCTGAGAATAAGTTCGGTGTCGGAGAAGCTTTGAAGTCTGGATCTGTTGTAGCCAAACATCCGTTTGGTGAGCATTTTGTGAACCTTCAGCATGCTAAAGAAGCTGTTAAGCACTAAATTTGGATTAGCTATGGGGTTAGACAGCAGGAATTAGTTGGTGATTCACACAATCAATAAGTAAACCGTGTACTTTTTTTGTAGTAGAATTTTGTTGGATCTGTCCTTGGTGCTGATTTCTCAGTTGGACAAAAGAGCTGATTCTTTAAAAAAAGATTTTAAAGCTTTTTACAACTTCTACAGTTTCTACAACTGTTCTGCATTCCTGGAAACCTTTAACAACTGTTTTATATTCTTGGAAACATTTTACATCTGTTCTGTGCTCCTAGAAAAATGTTACGTCTGTTCTGTGAGTGAGTGAGCTCTATGTTCTGGGAAACATTTTAAAACTGTTCTGTGTTGAACTGCCTAGAAACAGCCTACAACTGTCCTATATTCCTAGAAACATTTTATGACTGTTTTGTGTCCCTTCCAGACCCCCCAAGTCCGCCCCTGAACATCAAGGTGTCAGACGTGACAAAGGAGTCGATGAGGATCACCTGGGACAAACCCGCGGAAGACGGTGGGTCAGAGGTCACCGGCTACGTGGTGGAGAAGAAGGAGCGCACGTCCAACCGCTGGATGCGCGTCACGCGTTACCCCGTGAAGAAGTGCGAGGTCCAAGCGGCAGGATTAAACGTGGGAAGCGAGTACGATTACCGCGTCTACGCCGTGAATGCCGCTGGCAATAGCAAGCACAGCGAGCCTTCAGGTAAGCTTTCTCAGTTAATCTTGTAGCAACCTGTTTTTTTTAATTCGGTTACCTGTTGACATCAATATCTAAAAAAGGTCAATGACCTGAACCAGACATCTGTCACCATGGTAACTGGTGCTGTATCAGTCACTCTGTGATGTTGGGTGACATTATGTAGCAAGTTGCAGGACAGAGTGGGAAGGGCTGGTCACCACATACTAATGTATGAATGTGTTTGAGTAAGAATAAACAGATCAGTAGTTTCTTAGGCTAGACCATGAGAAGGTAAACATTAGGCATTTGCTTTGCAAGTGTTAGCATGATAATGATTCTGGTTTGTAACTTTTTGTTTCAACATTGCCTCCGTCCTCAGGGCTAGTCCTAGCCGTGGACCCCGTGTCTCCTCCGCAGAACGTGCGCGTGTTGGCCGTGAGTCGCGCCTCCGTCACGCTGACCTGTATGTTACTCGTCTGTAACCTGTTCTTTCCTTCCCTCTGTCCTCAGGGCTGGTCCTAGCCGTGGACCCCGTGTCTCCTCCGCAGAACGTGCGCGTGTTGGCCGTGAGTCGTGCCTCCGTCACGCTGGCCTGGCACGCTCCTCTCACCGACGGGGGCGCCAGGATTGTCGGCTACATCGTGGAGAGGCTGCAGAAGGACAAGGAGAACGCTCAGTGGGTCTACTGCCACCCAGGTCAGGGAAAACTCCAAACTTCTGTCATAGTTTAGAAGGAAAAACTGTAGCTTAGCTAATAAGTATCCCCTTCAGAAGGACAAGGAGAACGCTCAGTGGGTCTACTGCCACCCAGGTCAGGGAAAACTCCAAACTTCTGTCATAGTTTAGAAGGAAAAACTGTAGCTTAGCTAATAAGTATCCCCTTCAGAAGGATAAGGAAAACGCACACTGGGTGTACTGCCGCGCAGGTCAGTGAAAACACCAACCTTCTTATTGATAGATAATCGATTGATGTTGATAACAATACTTTCTGTTCATCGATGAGTAAAGTTCAACTGGAAACACTGGCTTGAGTCTTGAGTGAAATGATACAAAGGATGAGCAGATCAGCAAAATATCAACTCTGGTCATAGTTTAGAAGGTATACTATTAGTTGAAAAGGAAAAACTTGACTTGTTATCAGCTTAACTGTCGAAGTAGAGGAGTACAATTAGTAGCAGATTGAAGTTAAGTAATTGCAGAAACACTAATAAATGGTAGTTTGCTAATCAAAAATGCTGTCTTTCCCCCCAGGCATTGTGAACACGCGTGAGTACGTTGTGAAGGGTCTGATTAAGGAGGCCAAGTACGAGTTCCGCATCCGCGCCAAGAATGCCGCGGGCATCCTGGGACACTACTCCGACCCTACCATCCCTGTCATCTGCAAGGACGACATCTGTGAGTCACTTTCACAAGCATTTCACTTTAAAAAATTTCCTTTCTGTATGTATGAACAAGAAGAAGGTTGCATAAAACCAGAATTCAGAGAAGGGTGGATAAAATCGGTTGACTGTCTGTTGTGCCAGAATGGCCGAATAATTAGACACACATACATACAATGGCACCAATTTTCAGTTCTAGAATTTTAAAGCTTTACCATTCTTGATGGTCTTGTTAGCTGTTAGATGTGTGCTCTACAAAATGAAATTGCTTTTAATTTACAACTATCCCTCCTAAGAAAAGACCACATTGTCCACATTTAGATATTGTCTCCAAATTTCTTTCTCTCTGCAGCTAAAACATACTGGAAATGATCTTACAGTCTTACACTATAACTGTTCTTGAAGAAAAGTATTTTACAAGAATGTCTTTCTCCCCCCAGCCCCACCCAAAGCCCAGCTTGACCTGAACCTGAAGAACCAGATGACCTACCAGGCTGGCAGGAACATTGAACTGACCATGCACTTCGCCGGCAAGCCTGAGCCTTCCACGGAATGGCATCTTGGCAGAAAGGTGGGTTTTCATCAGTGGTTTATATCTGGTCGTACTGCTGAAATGTGTAGTGAGTTTGTAACATGTACTTAACAGAAAAGTCTTTGCTATAGCTGGTGGAACTGAATGTGTAGAGAATCGGTAACACTTTACTGTTAAGCCTGAACATTCTACAGATTGCTTCTTCCTTTGGGGCAGTTTGTCCTCACTCTCAGTTGAGCTTGTCTCCAACATTGATGTTTTTGACTTAGGGAGAAGAGATGCTTTATCCAGTAACCCAAACTTAGTACAGTGCTTAGAAGTTGTCTTTTAGCCTTGCACTGAGCTAAATTGGTAAGGAAAAGCCTGTACAGCACCATAGATTTTCCCCATTTTTGAGCAAAAGACAACTTTGTTACAATAAAAACACTCACACTCACTGTCTGGTTCATTGTCTGTTGTTCCCCATCTTCTGAGGGCTAGACATAGATTGTAAAAATATCTTTTTGTTGTCCCTTCCACTCCAGCCACTGATGCGGTCAGACAGAACGTCTATCATAAAGAAGGAGAAGACCAGGACACTGCTGATTAAGAACTGTGTCCGCGCCGACACCGGCCGCTACACCTTCACGGTCAAGAACGACTACGGAGAGGCGAGCGTGTCTGTGGACGTCAATGTGCAAGGTAGGGGTTTCAGGATAGCTTATACAGAGTCTTTCCTGCATGTATGTTGAAAGAAAGCTAGGAAATCATGCAGCCCATATTGGAGAATTTAAAAGCTTATTTCTGAAAAAAAAAGTGGCTGTTGATGTCAATGTGCAAGGTAAGGATTTCAAGACACCGTATAAAGAGTTTTTACTGCATGTACATTGAAAGAAAGCTAGAAAATTGTAAAACCCATCATAGAAATGTAAGGTTTTATTTGTGCAAACTTTTGAGAAAATTTTGTCGAATTGGAAAGAATCTTTATTCCTTTTATTGACCTTAAAGCACTTTTTAAAGTTAAAAATACAAATTTATGCAACTGTTACATCTTTCCATGAGTTTTACTCTACAGTAAAGCCATAATTAAGAAGTTTGTCCAATAACTTGACAAATGATTACATCCTTTGATTCCTCAGCTGTACCTGGTGTACCCATGGGTCCGCTGAAGGTATCAGACGTCACACCTGAGAACTGTGTTCTCACCTGGGACACACCTGCTGACAACGGAGGCCTGCCCATCACGAACTATATCATAGACAAGTGTGATGTCAAGGTCAGCACATTCTTCATTCAAGTCATCCTAGACACTTAACATTAGCAAATTATGCACATGTTTCAGTCATCAACGTGGACATAAACTACTTTGTAGCCTGTCACTGCTTCCTGCCCATCACTAACTATATCATATACAAGTGTGATGTCAAGGTCAGCACACATCTTTTTCTTCATTCAAGTCATCCTAGACACTTAACATTAGCAAATCATACAGTCACATGTTTCAGTCATCAACGTGCACATAAACTACTTTGTAGCCTGTCACTGCTTCCTGCCCATCACTAACTATATCATAGACAAGTGTGATGTCAAGGTAAACACATTCTTCATTCAAGTCATCCTAGACACTTAACATTAGCAAACAATACACGTTTCAATTACTGTATTAAGATGGTTATAAATTACTGTGTAGCCTTCCCATGACTCAATTTTACGTAATTTTTTCTGTCCATAGATTTGTTTTATCTTGAATCAAGCTACATTACTAGTAAGTCTATAAGCAATGCACTTATGTATCTTACAGCATATATGTGTACCTCTCTCTTAAATGCTTTATCATGCCAAGTTAGCCATTTGGCACCACTTTGGAAAGGTTTATGGGGTTAGCAAGAATCACCTTGGTTTCAGCACTAGGGACAGGGCCATTAACCTTCAGGCTGCTAAGGCAGCCTTTTGGCTCCTCGGTTGCATTCATTATGAAGTTAGCCAGCAGGGAGAAGGTTAAACAGTGTGTATAACATTAGAATATGAAGTACAATTTCTCCCAAGATAGAAACTGCCATGTTTTGTGGAAAGATTTTAAATGCCCCCCTCCCCCCACAGGTCCCCGGTGCCTGGATGAAGGTCAGTGCAGCAGTGCGTAAGACGACCCACAAGGTCACCAAGCTGAAGCACAAGGAGACTTACATCTTCCGCGTTCGCGCCGTCAACTACAACGGACCCGGCGAGCCGCTCGTCTCCGAGCCTATCATCGCCAAACACTCATTCGGTGAGTAGACCGTCCTGCTGACAAGATTTGTAGAATCTGATACAACTTCTACGCTGAAACGTATCAGTCAACATCAATAGACTTTTCTTACATTCTTTTTTCAATCCTTTTGACTAGAATACAATTTTCTTTGATTACAAAGGAAAACCTAAAACTTACCGTACAACTGACTGCAATAGAACGTTATACAAGGCTTTTATCAATCAAATGTAAATGCAATGTGTGATAATGCTATGCTTGTTTTAATCATTGGAACCTATAAATATAAAGTGCAATAAACAGTATAAAAGCTAATATGACAGTATTGTGCATTTCAGTGGCTCCCTCACTGTAACAATGTGCAATAAAATACATCTTGAATTTAAACCCTTCCTTCCAGACGTCCCCACCCAGCCTTCTAAGCCAGTGATTAAGGATGTGACGTGCAGACGTGTGTCATCACCTTATAGTATAATAAAATATACTGAAATAGATATTATTCAAGGCTTCTGCCTACTAGTAAATGTTTGTTTCTTAAATCTTACTCTCCTTTAAACCCTTCCTCCCTAAAGACGTCCCCACCCAGCCGTCTAAGCCAGTGATTAAGGATGTGACGTGCAGACGTGTGTCATCACCTTATAGTATAATAAAATATACTGAAATAGATATTATTCAAGGCTTCTACCTACTAGTAAATGTTTGTTTCTTAAATCTTACTCTCCTTAACCTCTTCCTTCTCACAGACGTCCCCACCCAGCCGTCTAAGCCTGTTATTAAGGATGTTACCTGTGAGACGTGTGTGATCACCTGGGAGGCTCCCGAGTCTGACGGAGGCTCCGAGATCCTCGGCTACGTCGTCGAGAGGAAGGAACACAGCGCCATGAGGTCAGAAACAAGGGAGTTTTCTGTTTGCATTTTAACAATTGTACATTACATAAACGTACATGTAGCAAGGAAATACAAGACTCATTAGAATTAAAGGCTGTTATTGAAACTTCTTTAATTCTACATTGTATACATGAAGCTGTGAAATGTTTTGTTTCATATTTTATGTACTAGATTTAAGAGTGTGTAATTTCTGGTCCTCTTGTAAATCCCTCGAACTAAAAGCACTGCAAAAACATTGTACATTACATCAGATTTCCACTTGCCTTTTTAGGTTTGATGCTTCGTCCCCCTGTGCATCATTTTCCTTCCTGTGATTTACATATTACTGATTCTCAGCATGGAAAATCTCTCATCTACACCAAATTTAGAAACTAAAAAACATTCAGAATATATTCAGAAAATCAGAACCCTGTTTGAATATTTGTGCTAACCCTGTTGTTGCCCCTCCCCCCAGGTGGCAGCGTATAAACCGTGCCCTGGTGCGCGACACTGAACTTGCCCACGAGGACCTGACGGAGGGTCTGGAGTACGACTTCCGTGTGGCTGCAGAGAACGAGGCCGGGCGCGGGAAGTTCTCCCCGTCCTGCATGCCGGTGTTGGCGCGGGATCCCGTCGGGAAGCCCCAGGCTCCGCAGAACGCAGAGGTTTGTTTATTTAATATTATTTTATGTCATAATGTTATTTATGGTTGTGTCAGAGTGTGTAGACACCTTTGATGCCAGTAGAAGGAAGTTAACATAGAAACAAGAGTACAAAATAACTTCAAAATCCACATAATAAAAGGTAGTTGTCTATAGCTATAGCTATATATGTCTAAAACTATGTCTGAAGGGTTTGACTTGTCTTTTGTAAACCATGGAAGACGTAATGTCCCACCTTTTCCCAAATTTGTGGATTTTGGGTAGTTAAAGGAACAATAGCACTGTAACAATGATGACACCTTTGATGCCTGTAGAAGGAAGTTAACATAGAAACAGATCTGGAGTACAAAATAACTTCAAAATCTACATAAAAGGTCTAAAAATATATTTATGTCTAAAACTATGTCTTTTGTAAACAAGGAAGACGTAATGTCCCACCTTTTTGAAAAATTTGTGGGTTTGGGTAGTTAAAAGAAGAATAATATTAAATTAACATTAGTAATAACAGTAACAATGATAATAAGAATATTACGTTATACCTACAGGTCCTGGAGACAACACGCGAGTCTGTGAGCCTGCTGTGGCAGCCGCCATACAGCGATGGAGGCAGCAAGATCTACGGATACATTGTGGAGAAGAAGGACGAGGTACGTAGAGTAACTGTTAACTATGAACTAGTTTCGAATTCATTGCCATTATACCTAATGTTACAGTCATGCAAGTAATCTTGTATTTGCTATAAAACTTCAATACAATACTGGCTTTCTGTAAATGGTGACAGCAGTCCTCTACAGGTAGAAGTACACTACCAAAAATGCCAATCTTGTTTTTCTTCAGAGAAGAAAACTTTTCTTCCACTGAGAAAATTATTCTTCACCCAAGAAAAAAATCTTGTCCATGAGACAAGAATTTCAAGAAACTGCATTTTAGCATATTTTTCTTGTGGTAAGATTTCTTTTCTTATGTATCTTGGACTAAATATCCTTAGAATATTATTCTTGCAGTAAGAATTTCTAAGTTTTCTAGAAAACCATTCTGTACACAAGAAATGATTTCTTGAACTAAGATCTAACTCTTCTTGTAGCAAGAAAAATATTCTCCCCACAAGAAGATTTCTTGAACTAAGAGCTAACTGTTCTTGTAGCAAGAAAACCATTCTGCCCACAAGAAGAGATTTCTTGAACTAAGATCTAACTCTTCTTATGGTAAGAAAACCATTCTGTACACAAGAAAAGATTTCTTGAACTATTAGATCTAACTGTTCTTGTAGCAAGAAAACCATTCTCCCCACAAGAAAAGATTTCTTGAACTATGAGCTAACTCTTCTTGTGGCAAGAAAACCATTCTCCACGCAAGGAAAGATTTCTTGAACTAAGAGCTAACTGTTCTTGTAGTAAGAAAACCATTCTGTACACAAGAAAAGATTTCTTGAAATAAGAGCTGACTCTGTTCTTGTAGCAAGAAAACCAATCTGCCCACAAGAAAAGAAATACAATGTATATAGTGCTACCTAAATATAAAACAGACAATAATGTATAGCAACTAAATGTTATTTTGAAAAGCATTTGGACAGTATAGAGATGTTTATTATCACATTGATTTTTGCACAATGTATCTAATTAAAAATATAAATCAGTCCATCAACATTCTTGGAATGGAAACAGTTAACAGTAACTTTCAAAATATTATACGATGTAACTAACAAGCCATTACGATTTCAG